TTACCACCCTTGTCTGCTCCAGATGGTGTTGTAGAAATAAAAAAAACTTATGTGATCCTTGTCCCTACATTCGCAGATCTCGCAGAAGAAAGGGAAAGAAATCACTTTCTCAGTTGAGCAGGACTTTGTTGTGACCCATCCCAAGCCAGCTTCTGTGCAGATCTATGATTATTATGAAACTGGTAAGTCTTTGATTTTAAGCAGTACGAAGCCTGGGGGAGGGACAGGGACAGCAGAAACACTGCATGCATTAAGGGAGATACAGAACCAGCCTTCCTGGACGTAAGATTTCTCTGAACTCTTATCAGGATCTGGATTTAGTATCAGGGGAGAGACTTATTTCACTTCTGTGATCTTATGCTCAAGGTGACAAGTGGGTATAACTAGAAAGCTACAAAAATTCACAAGCCAGAATGAAGGAGATTTCAAGGATCTCTGGTTTAAGCAAGCGTGGGGTGTACCTACATCCAGGGAAAGTCATCAGAAGCGGTCTGCAGGCTAATAGGAACATTTATTTCCTTCTTCTCCAGAAGAGTATGCTGTTGCTCAGTATATGTCACCTTGCAAAGAGGCTGTTGCAGAAATGGACTAATGATTAGAGAAGGTAAGTGAAATCCAGAAAAAAGTCCCAAGCAGGTGAGAAGGTAAAGTATAAAGCAGCACGTGCAGAAGGATGGGCATGGTGAAGAGAGCAATAACTGTTTCTGAGGAAATGGACTCTGCGGTCACCACCAGGCTTTTCAGAGAGCAGCCAGAGACAGTGGCCAGATCCTGTCTCATGCTGTCACAAGTCCTGTCACGGTGACACATGCTCAGTGGACTCCAAGAGAAGGCCATGTTACTGTTCATGGGAAGAGCTCAGCCTCTAGAATGAAAGTGAAAGTGCAGAATAAAGGAAAGACTGGGAAATATCTTCAGGATTTCCTCAAAAGCATACATACTTAGCAAGGAATAATCTCCCTACAGCCATCCTTGAAAGCCTGTCCTGGTTCAGCACAGCAGTTATGTTGACTGCTATCTGACGAGCAGTTTCGGAGGGATATGGGCATATATCCCACATATCCTACACAGTTTTCTGCCAGACTTTGGTCCAGCATTTGTCTGTTTTGCCCTGAAGGGGCTGATTACCCTGTACCTGAAACCATATTTTAGATCCTGCTGGTTTGTTCTCACTGAGGTTATTTTCTTTTGGATTTTCCCCTACAGGACCATCATAAATGTTGAACAAGTGGTCAAGAAACCTATTTTCTTCTGTCATTAAGTGCTGGGAAGGGCCATTTCACCTTACTAATCACAGTGGGAGTCTGTGACATCATTTGAGCTAGTGTCTGATTCTCTGTTTCCTTTCATGACACGTCTTTACATCCATGTCATAATCATGTATACCTTTCCATCAATAAACTTCCCTTTTACATTGGACACTGGCTTTTTTCAGTGTCACAGAACAGACATTTTAATGACAGTCCACATGTTACGTTTGATGACTGGAGAGGATGAAGAGAGACACACATCTGTCCTGCCTGCACCACTCAGCCTCCTCTCCCAGCTACAGCTGATAACCACTGGCAGCTACTGTAATATGCAGCATACTCGGTCCCTCCACCTTTCAGAGAGCAGGACCCGTTGCTCATAGTTGCTGAACAGCCTCTCACCTTTACACAGCCCTGCCAGGGTGCTGCCTGTCCCCTGTAGCATAAAAGTAGGGTTTTATGTATGGACATCACAGAGTGACTGCATCATGGTTAGTAGAAAAGAGGGTGAAGAAAGGAGCAGGTTTCAGTCCAGGCCTGGTAAGCACCTGGTCCCACACCCTTGATCTGCCCCTGACTGGCTCTCCAGTCCATGAGACTGGCCAGAGTTTGTCCAAAAAGAGGTGATGAACCTGGATCATGATGCCTTGCCCCAGCCACCAGCAACAAGCTTCCCTCTTTTCCTGCACCTCTTGTCATCACCCACTTCATTACACTTGGAATCATGGTGGTTTCGCCAAACACAAATGCTCTTTGGTTGCAGCATGCCAGAGTTGGTGGGTGGGTGGGTGGGTAGGAGGAGCATGATCCAGGCAATACCAGAGCCGTCTCAGAGGGGACAAAGGGACAGGGAGGCATGGCTAGAGATGAGGGAGCAGAGCAGCATCAGGAGGGCTCAAGAGAGAAGTATGGATGCAGCTCCTCTTACACAGGAGCAACAACCTGGCCAGCAGCCTTGCCCACCCCTCCCATGGCTGCAGCTGCGCTGCTCACAGGCAGAGGGGTCCAGCCCCATGCTGGCTTATCTGCAGTGTACTGGGGCCATCCATCACACAGGACTGGGGAGAAAAGGACTAAGCTGTCATGGGGCTGAGGGGGAAGGACCAGCCATGCAAGAGCATGAACAAGAATTGAAGCAAAGATGCAAACTGTTCAAATGCTGAGGAATAGTATGTTTTTTGAAGGCATCCATTTCACCAGGTAACTTACTAAAATTGTGTGTGGACTTGAGTTTTTCATTTTTACCAGTGAAAATCATGTCAACACAGAATATCCCTCTTCCCACATAATTTTTTTTTTTTTTGCAAAAGGTACTAAATAATTTGAGTCAGTGTTTCTGAGTTGCTGAGGCCTGGCTCATGAACAAACAAAATGTCTGAGTCTCCACAGGCAGCAGGGTACCCAAATACTCACAGCATCCATTAGCCATGTGTGAATTTCAGAATTGCACAGGGCTGGCCATGCAGGATATGCATGATATTGCTGTTACAAAAAGCCATTTCATTAAGTTACACAGATGAGGAATTTGTGGGGCATGAAACTGTTTTGGGTAGAATGCAGATTTCCCTGCTAAGTTCCAAAATTGAAACTTCACTGGCAGCAGAAGGAAAGCCAGAAAGGCTGTGAATTTTGCTTTCCTGACACACCCCAAACTGGAGCAACCATCTGGATTTGAATGAGCATCAGACTGGACTACAGCAAGAGAAATCAGTAGTTACAGCAGCAAGGCTGAAAAGGAAAGCAGGCTGAGTGGATGCGGGTACAGGATGTTCATCTTTCTGAGGGATTTGAGGCCAATCAATCAAGGCTTCAGCATCTCACGTGGAACTCATAAAAGTCCCCCTAAGGTCTGGCCAAATGTTATTCTGTTCAGCCAAACATCATTTTCTGGGAATAAACAAGGTCCTGAAAAAAAAAGCAAGCTGCATTTTTATCATTCTTTTGGAATTTTCTTTTCCTCTTAGGCCAAACCTGAACTATTAAAACATCAAGTGCATATTTCCCACTGCAGACTCTTCCTCTGCAGGCTGAAAATGTAATGTTTATTATGTGATTTCATCCTGCAACTCAAAAGATACTTGCTGCTTGCAGGCAGATCTAATGAACATCCCATGCTTATGTTCTTCCTCCAGATTTTTACATGTAGATCATGTTCTCCCTGGCTCCTACTCCCACAAATAACAGCAATATTCCTTAAACCGCATTCCAATACCTCCCAGATTTCTGGAACCTGTGTGTCTCATTTCAGTTATAGGTTTTTTTGCGCCTGAAACTGAGACAAGTGTATTTATTGTTGACTGAGCAAGATGGGGACACCCACTAGACTGAATGTCATTTCTTCCTCTGTAATCTGATAATCGTGAGGGGTCAATTCAATCCTGGAGGCTCAGGGAGTGTTCTAGGTCTTAGATGGTCAAAACTACTTCAGTTTTGGCAAGACATTCAGGTTAAGCAAATTCTTTTTCCCCAAGTGATAAATGCTCCATTCCTGGCAGTGTTCAAGGCCAGGCTGGACAGAGCCTTGGGCAACATGGTCTAGTGTGAGCTGTCCCTGCCCATAGCAGGGGGATTGTAACAGGATGATCTTGAGGTCCCTTTCAACCATTCTATGATTCTGTGATTCTATGAAGTGTGAAAAAATCAGGCTCACTGGTCCAAGAGATGCCCTGAGCTCCTATATACTGGTTTACTGTGCTTGGTATTGCATATCTCAGTTTAAAAAAGCTACCTGAGAACAGAGACAGATACAAGTACCCACTGAAATGGTTGTGCAGGTCCTTGGACTAAGTTAATAATACTGTGAGAAATGGGAAATTCAAAACTTTGCTATGGTTGTCTGCCAGTGCCCTTGCAGCAGCTCTGCAGCTTCTGTACGTTGCTCTATTAAAAGCTATCCTGAAATGCAGCTTCTTGTGAATAAAAAAGACATACCAGAGTATAATCACATGAGAATGTCTTGGACTAAATTGCTCTGTCAAGCTTACTTCTCTTTGTGTTAAAGCCTTCTTTGTAGAGTTTAGTTGTGGAATGGAAATTGCTTTGCTGCTCATGTGGAGTTTACACTGAAGGATTTGCTAAGGGCTGATGCCATGGCCTAGTTAAGAAGAAGAGGACTCACAATTGTTATGGAATTACAATGTTCCACACTCATTCTGGAAACTGAGTATAAGCTTTTTTTACTGTAGATGTTGTCTCATCCACAATGTGGGCAGCAGGATGCAAAATTTAGAGAAAGGTGAACTGCAGTGTAGCAGCATTCTCTTGCTCAGGTTCCTCAGTTGCCTAGCTAGCATTCTCATTAGACGAAGGAGTCCTTGGTCCAGGAAATTTGGTTGCTTCATCTTTAGACTCAAATCCTCTTCTATCCCTGCAGTGTCACAGGTAATAGTGTCAAGCTGTTAAACAATGACCCAGCAACAGCTCAGCTCTATGACTTCTTTTATTTTCCAGATCTTGTTACCTACTTGATGTTCAGGTCTTCTCCTCACCACCTTCCCTCTGTCAAATATGAAGTCTGAGTGATGACCAACCAATTCACCCATCAGAGAAGACCTGCAATGTGCCAGAAATGTGCCAATTTCTTCAATCAAGAAATGGTGAGGTGTTAAAATGCCTGAGGAAACAGCTCAGCCTAGCTTTCTGATCTTTCTTTGATGAGTTCATTTGCCACCTACTTGGAGGACAATTAGGGAGGACCATGTCTGCAGCCAAATGACCCCCAACATCTGATTCATCAGACGGGTAACACAGAAACATGGTCACATCTATGGCACCACTGGCTGAGAAATTCATAACATCGGCTAAAGGCTTCTTGAGCAACATCACTCATGTACTTTTTAATTTGTTATTCATAGTAACAATGAAAAATGTCCCCAAAAATGTTTCAAGTGGAGAAACAAAGTTGTGTCAGCTAGTCCAGTAGCTCAACGGCAAGAGAATGGCAAGCTCAACTACCTGAAGGGTCGCCTATTGAGGGTCAAGAAAAACCTAAATGCAAAGCATTAAGTTGAATACAGGGAAACTTCTTGGTTTTCATGTTTCTGATCCTCTTGCAAGTGCAGCACACTGATCTCCTGACGCCTTTTGATCCTGCCCTGGAGTCCTCCACTCCCCTGCCACACCAGTGCTCCTGCTGGGCAAACTAGGACCTCCTTTAAGAACGTGGTTTCAGCAGGGCTCCTGGACCTCAGGCTGTCACACTGTGCGGATAACCTAACAAGTGGGAGACTTAAAATGTCTTATCTGTGAGTGACAGCAGGCAAAATATGAGAGAGGCAGGCAGAGGTGGAGGGAGTAAAGAAATCACCATGCTGCGTATTGACAGGGCTCTGTGTGCATGCTATGAAAGTGCTAACCTTGCGCATTTCTTTCTTTGGCTCAGTACCCACGAGGAGGTGAAGGCTGGGTTATTACCAGAGGCAATTGCATAATCATGCCACTTATTTTCTGCTTCACTAGAAGTGACCAGCTCTAGGCCCCACTGATTCCACTCTCTGTCTCTCCTGTCAAGGCAACGTACGTCCGCACTCAGTGAGCCGGGGTCTGTGCCATGATAAAGCTCATCTGGGAAGTCCTGTGCACTGAGTGTGGGATGCACAGCTGGATCTCTCCTCACTGCTTAAGCAAGGTCTTGTCCTGTTCCCTTCCAATCACTTATGTCCAGAGCAGGGTGTCCCAAAACAGGAGGGAAGTGCAGTGGTATAATGCAGCCAGAGCAGGCTCTGTAGCAGGACACTGTGTACAAAGGGATCCTGATAAATGGCATGACCTCCATCTGCATCGCAGCATTACGACTCATACCCCTTTCCCTGACCTGAAAAGCCAAACATGACCAGCTCTGCCCTGCCTATCAAGGTGCAACCAAAAAAAACAGAGGTGCAAGGAAGGATTAAACATGACAGTATCTGATTTCCTTTCCTTGTACTCCATTAGGACTTCTTGTCTTGCTTTCCTGTAGCATCCTTCATTTCAAAAACCCAGACAAACACTATCAGCTGAATCCCAGCTCCCCTCTGCATGGGGGAAAGATCCGTATCTTTGAGCATCAAATGACGTTTGGCTTAGCTGTGACACAGAGAGGGGCCTGGACTTATCCGATGTTACCCAGCAAGGCAGTAACTGAGCTAAGTGTAAAGCCCTTCCCTCCTGCTTCAGATGAGCCAGCAGGTTCTGTGCCCAAGGCCCCAGCAGTGCCAGGCCAGCTCTCCTCCCAGCATGGCTGGAGGAGCGAGCCTCCTTGCACAGCCACCACAGCAAGCTGGTGTCGCAAGTACAGCGTGGTCCATCCAGCAGATGACATGGACACAGACTTCTGCTGCCTTCTTCTAGAAGAGCCATTTGGGGGGGCAGTGATTTGGGGTTTCACTTTTCTGTAGCTAAAATGAGCATCAAATCTAGATGAAAACAATCTTTGAAACACCCATGCCACATGAGTACTGTCTTTTTCTCTACTGGTGCTCTCACTCATGGCCTCGTGCCATGAAGCTTGGATAGTCTCTGGGGATAGCTATACCATGGCAACTCTGTGCACCTCTTCTGTTGCTTCATCACCCTCTGAGGGAAGCACTTTTTCCTTCTGTCTGCTTGGCATTTCTCTGTATGCCACTGTGCACCTCCGAAGAGCCTGGCTCCAACTTCATTCCACCTGCCTTGAACATCAAGAGTAGAAGTACCTTCATGAAATGCCTGTACTAATGTGAGGGGAGAGGGAGTCCAGGCAACAAAAACACAGCTAAAGCTAAATACAAAGTCTATATGCATTACAAAATGCGTTTTTATATGGTAAAGTTGTATCTGAAGAGTCGTATGACTCAAAAGGAGTATAGTTAATTGTGTCAAACGCTGCTTTCAGATACATTTGTAAATGTTTTGGCTTTTTCTCTCTCCTTTGTCAACAATCTGAGTAATACAAATGTATAAATTAAAATAGGTTTCCATTTTTATTACATCAGGAATTATCCTAATTTCTCTGTAATATCCAATATCCAAAATATCTGTGAACATACAAACAGCCAGTTTATTTTGTATGTATTTTAAAATTATTAGGTAACATTCACCCATTCCTTTTAGCAGATTTAACAGTAGGATTTCAACAAATGATCATCCTCTGTGTGTACCATTCATTTTAAGTTTCAGACAGACACACTGCAGATTTATCATGCTGGAAGCTTAACAGCCTTGGTTGCAGCATGTTTTGCAACATACAGCATATGTTTAAGGCAAGACAAAGTTTATATGTTTATATGATGTTTATATGATTAAGTTTAAGAACTTAAGAACCTTAAACTTAAACTTTACAAACTTTATATGATGTCTGTTACAATATAGCTGGGAAAGCTGAATATACTCTACTTTGTATAGGGCTTACCCTACAAATGGGCTAGCCTTACATCAAATATAGCTATAGGACTATTTATAAATCCCAGGCACCAATTTAGCTTGCAATTTAATCTCTGAAGAGCATTAAAATAAGAGCAGTTCATTGATGCCTTTGCCATGCCTCAATTTACACATTTGTTCACATGACACCCCAGGAATATGTTATATTTGGCAGCTCAGCTCTCTGTGACTGGGAAAGACAGTTAATCTGCCACCAGGCCCTTTATCTCTGGTTAAGATCTTCAATAGGCTACTAAAGTGGATCATCTGTATTTACTCTGATATTTTTAGTTTAATTTGAAGTTTACATTTTGTACATATCTACATTCTTTCCTGTTAGGGTGGTGAGGCACTGGAATGGGTTGCTCAGGGATCTTGTGAATGCTCCATCCCTGGCAATGTTCAAGACCAGGTTGGACGAGGCCTTGGGTGATATGGTTTAGTGTGAGGTGTCCCTGCCCATGGCAGGGGGGTTGGAACTAGATGATCTTAAGGTCCTTTCCAACCCTAACGATTCTATGATTCTATGATTTTTATTTATTATTTTTTTCAGCCTTTAGCTGAGCACCTAACATGTTAACCGGAGTTGTAAATCTAAGTTTTACAGTGATTGTTTTCTCACCAGTCTCCATGCACAGCTGATGTAGGTACTGAAAAGAGATGTTCTTTTTGCTACATCAGCTCGTATCTACTAGGGGTTCTTGTGTGGAAGTGCAGGGACCACCTTAGGCACAATATCACTGTTACAAAGAACTGCTTCCTCAGCTTTTTTCTTTTAACACATGATTCTTATTGAAAGTCAAAGGTTGAAGTTAAGTTTATTGTTTTGGTTTGGTTTTAAGAGCTGAACATTGTGTTACAGTCCTTGAAAAGGCAGAACAGGGACACAGTAAATTACAGGTGTCTTTCTTGAGATTATTTACCTTTGGTGACAATGGTTCCAAAATTGCTTAAGATTGTAGACAAGGATTCCTGTAGATGAAAGTGTTGAGATAGTATTAAGGGTATTGCAACCACCACAGATACCTTTTCTTCCTGCAGTTGCAGAGGCTGGTGAGCCACTGTTACTGATCAATTGGTTGTCATCTACAAACCTAAACTGTAGAAACTGAAAGGAAGTCAGAGGAAAATTGACCAGATTTGGGTAAGGTAATTAATATTGCACACTGAATATCTTTATTTTCATGGGGAAATACGTTTTCTATAGCGGTCCTAAACTTGGAGATATAGGACACTTGACATTTTTCTATCACTTTTGCTAGGCAATGCAGAGAAGACTGTAAGGCTTATAGGAAATTTCAGAATAAGGTTTGGTGTGACTGGAACTTATCAATATTTATGGTGGTCTGTATTAACTTATTAATTGCACTTCTTGTGCCCGTCAGTGCAGCTCAAAATAGTAAATTTTAAAGTGCTGGTGGAAAGGAACCTGTGAAGGAAATACTGCGGAGAATTAAATGCTCCAGAAAATAATAAAATAAAATAGTCATAATGATACAGCCAAAGTAGAAGTGCTTCCATGGCATCCGTTTCTTATTGATCTGGTGTCTTGCTCCATTTCAACATGATAGTACCTGGAAAGGAAATCCAGTGCATCAGCACATACAACTTACCAATCAGTGTAACCTTTCTGAGATTTATCTACAAGTAAGGTAATTTCCCAAGTGTTCCTTGGAACAAAATAAAGTTTTAGAATAATTTCATAGTTTCATAGTTTCAATTTAGAATTGGAAATAAAGAAGTTTCAAATATCTTCTGTGAAACAGCTGAAAGATATGCTGCCTTTAAAAGTGAGAGTAAACGTGTGTAACCATTCACTTTCAAGGAGGATGAACCAAAATTAATTGCTGTCATTTACTATAGAAATCCACTATGCTTGGAGGGTTATAAGAAATTTGATATAGGCATTTTGGCTATATCAACCATTTATTGTGATGTGGCCTAATTTGAATTCTTTATGATTAACAGTTAGGTACAATGTTTCACTTAGGTTTTGTAGCAGCTTAATATGATTAAGCTCAAAGGACTAGTCCTTGAAGATAGTAGATAAACACAAACTGCCTGTTAATCTGTCAGGTACCCACTGACCTCAGACACATATGAAGTATTGTCATAAGAGGAAATCTCTTTCCTGTGGTTAAAATCATGACTCTCAATTCACCGAGGCCATCAACATGTATGGCAAAGATGTTGCATGCCCTTTTCAGCACTGCTACCTTTTATTAGACCAGCTAGTCTTGTTGGAAGAAGTAGCCAGTTTTTCAGACATACAATTTCTCCTTCAGGTCTGAAAAAGCACCCAGAAGCTTTCAAATTAAGCACAAGCTCAGACCACTTGTTCTGAGCTTTGGGAGAGAGGAACCACCTGAAGCACTAGCTGACTGCCTGAACTAAAGGGCAGTTAGTGCTTGCGGAGCAAAGTGGGCATGAGGGAGTCAGAGAGCTAAGTGGTTCCTGGGGGACGGAGAAGAAGGTATTTTACACCCCATGGACAGTAAATGGCTTAGGGGAAGGAAGCAGATGATAGTGAATAGGATCTTCACAGAATCACTGGTTTTGGTGACCCTGTAGATCTATTATTTCAGTTTTCCATGCTCATCCTTAAACTGTATTTTGCATGTGTCCATTCGGATTACTTTTTGGTTTCAGTTTACAGCAGCCTGAATGACAACAGGCAACTTGGGATGAGTTGTGTTCCAGCAATGCCCAGGGCACCATTGCTTTGAAAACTGCTATTTTCCACAAGTTATTTATGGGAGAAGTCGAAGATGGGAGTGAGAGGACAGACGATAGGAGGCACTTCTGGAGAAAGCTCTGTTTATTACTTCATAGTTACACAACCACTTTTTTATCAGTATTTCCATCTCTAACTGATAATCTTCTTAATCTTTTGGTTTGTGTGAGTACGTGTTCTCTCCTTCCCCATATGACATTGATATAACACTTCCCCCAGCTGACACTGCCTGCTTCCCGACTGCTTTCGTAACTTCTGTGGTTTATAAATGATGTTAAATTTTATTCCACAAGAGGCTGTGCCTGATTTTCTAACACCAGCCTGAAAATCCCTTTCATACCCAGACATCTCTCCTGGGCCTCTGCACTGCTCTTCCCTGTGTTTTTTCCGGCTACTACATCAGAGTCAAGGCACACTGTATAGCTAACATTCAGCCTTAACATTCACTCTTTTTCAAAGCTTACTCCTCAGACAAAGAGCATATAGGGCTGCTTGTGCTGTTGTGATCTAATAAGCTCCCTTGCACAGAACAGAGAACCTCTGCTGTTAATGTGGCTTCACAGGGACGGTTTGTGTCGAATCTTTTTTGTCTTCACAAGGGTCATGAATCTCTATAGTGTTACTGAGTCATTCCACTGCACAGTCACTGGAGGGCATGCTGACAGCCATGCAGCTGCAGTTCTGCAGGTTTTTGGGGGCTGCTGCAAAGCAGCCTTCTGGTTAGGGCTCGCAGGGAGTAGTCATAGTTTGGAGTGAGTATTTCTGCTCAATGACATGTTGGAATTTAGCAAGTTTCTTTTCTTATCAGATTGAACTTCTGGGTAAGATGCTACAAGCAGGGGTTTGCAGAAGACCCAAGTCAAGTGAGCAGCACTGTTTGCGAGTGACTTCTGTTACAAGCAAGACTCACAGCAGCACAGATCTGAATCTGGCCAAAGGAAGGAGGAGCCACCTGGAACACCTGAGACATCTGCACTCCTGGTAACACCAGATAACAGAAGATGATCACCATGCTGGGGAAGCAAGGATGTCTTCCAGCAACATGGTGTAATGTTTGTGCATATTCACAGTGGAAGCAGAACTTACTTCCATATCTAGACTAGCACCCCACCCCATTTTGGGTTATATTCCTGACAGATTGCCTAACCCATAGCAACTTTATTAGCAACTCTGTCAGCAAACTACTGCAGTATTCTGTTAACATAACATGGGCAGTGTTTCTCTGTGTGTGCTTCATTTTGTTCTGAAAATACTTATAAATCTGGCTTGGGGCTTCAAAAGATCACAGTACCCCATGTTAGAGTGTTGTGATTGGATGATCTGCCCAAAGGGAGTATTACCTTATGTTGAACATGGTTAATTTCAAAGAATCATAGAATAGTCTGGGTTGGAAAGGACCTTAAGATCATCCAGTTCCAACCCCCTGCCATAGGAAGGAGTACCCCTTCCACTAGACCAGCTTGCTCCAAGCCCCATCTAACCTGGCCTTGAACACTGCCAGGGATGGGGCAGCCACAGCTTCTCTGAGTAATCTGCGCCAGTGCCTCACCACCCTCACAGGGAAGAACTTCTGCCTAATACCTAATCTAAAGCTACCCTAAGAGAAGGCAGATTGTGTATTATGCTGCCTTGAGATGAACAAAGCTTTCCCCAACACTGTGGATTTTGGTGGGTTAAAGGAAGCAGGGTTTGAATCGTTCAAAGATTTCTCATGTAAGCAGTATCCAATAAATACCCTTCCCCCACTTGGAAAGTCTCTGGGCAAATACTGTCTCTCTGTTCCAGCTCCTCCTTGTTGCTGCCTCTCCCCACTTCCGGATGGGCCCTGGCCCCCAGCCCTTATCTCCTCCAGCCCCTGGGCTGTTTGCAGAAAGCGGTTATAAAAAGGCTGACGGAGCAGAGAGTGGAGCAGAATTACAAGGTGCAGGAAAACTGCAGCACCGGACCAGACAGTGTATCTACTTGACTCACCACAACCTGCTCTGCACCATGGGGAAGAATGGGCTGCTCAGCAAACCAAACATCTTCCTCCTTCTCCTCTTCTTTCCTGGAAACAGCTCTCCTACCACAGAACCGTAAGCAACACATGTGCAAGGGGTGGGGGGGTGGTCTTAGCGCAGCTTTTTCCTTCAATTTTCTTCCTTTCTGCCAAACAGCGGTGCCAGTTTCTTCCATTGATGCCTGGCATCCCACTACCAGCCAAGCCCTGAGCTTCCTGAACAGGGAGCTCTGCCAGTGCTCCCCACTCCCACACTGCAAACCCCTGCTTGTTCAGCCCTGGGACATGTACACCTATCCCCTTCCAGTGCTCACACTCCTGCCCTGTAGCTGCCTGCTAGTCCAGCTCTGGCTCCTCACAGCATCTTTGCCTGAGTATATCCTTGCCTACAAACCTTTAGATCCTTAGGTTTTTGTGGACATGATGCTAGAATCCCTGCAGTATCCTTATTTCAATCCCTGGGCTGTTTCTCTCTGTTCTCTTGCTGCTTTCAAGCCAGTTTGCTCCCCTTTCTCCTGCTTCTTTCAAGCCACTTTGTTTTCCTTGGCAGCATCAGATGTACTTGTTCCCAAAAGAGGATGTGTGACCTAGATTCTCCTCTTTCAGCATGGAGCCTGGCACTGGCACCCTCCCCTGGGTCATCCACCCCAGGGCTCAGCAGATCAGCAGCATGGCTGCAGCGCCTGCTCTACTGAGGAGAGGGGAAGCCCAGGGAGGCACAAGCTGGCTGGAGTCTGGCCTCCCCATTCAGCCTCCCCTACCACAGAGGGTTGCTCTGAAGCCTGTAGTCTGGACAGGAGCAGCCTCTCTCCTCAGACCCTGGCTGCTGTCACATATTGTGCCTCCTGCTGCGTTGTGCTGGCAGAAGTGCAGCTCTCACCACCACCATTGCAGCTCTTGTAATGCTTGCTACAGGGCACTTCAGTAGTGCTAGCAGCTGTAGCAGGAAGGGCAGCACTACCGCTGCTGCTTGCTGTGTGGTCAGAGGTGATGTAGTGACCAACTCAGACTGAAGGACCTTTCACTCACACTGTACCATTAGCCCCTCAGTCATCTGCCCTGTCTGGGTGCTTCTGGGACAGATCAGCCAGCAAAGTCTGCTTTGAGGTCAGGCAGAGGTCTCTGGTGTCCCTACAGTGATCTGATGCAATTAATTAATGATTAATTATTTTATTCATACCTGCCCAAGATCAGAGGGAAAGGGAATGAATTTGCTCAGACCTCTCCTCCTATGAGCAACATGCTGCTCTTTGTCCCTGACCTGAGCCCCATTCTGGGAGGGGAGAAGGAAAAAAGGCAAAAGGAAGAGGTGAGGAAGAGAGGGGTGTAGCTGGGATCCACAGAATGAAGACAGGAGCCTCACAGGGAGGCAGCGGAGTCCAAGCAGTCAATTTCTAGGTAGTATGAGGGTAGTGGTTCTAAGTGCCACAGGGTAGGTCAGATGTCGAATACAGTACAGAAGGGGAGCCAGCCATGAGCTGAGACAAAATGAGGCTTCCAACTGAGATTTGCTTACTGTGCTCTGCACAAGTAGGAGTTTTCTTCAAGTAGCAACAGTTGCTGCTATTTCTGTCTCAGATGCGTCTGGCTGCACAGGAGATAGTTACGACTCAGACTACGTATTAGAAAACCTATTCTCCAAGTTAGGGCAGCACTGGAACAGGTGACACAAGAAAAATGGTGGAAATTCTATCTCCTGAGCCCTTTGCAATGGTCCTGTTTGGGAGAGAAGTTGGGCTTGAGACATCCAGAGGTGTCTTGCAAGCAAAAAAATCTATAAGATACTACAGCAAGATGACTTTTTTTTCTTGCTCCTGGTCTGTGCTGGAAGGATTCAACAGGAGGTATTGTTCCTCTGTTCTGGTACGTGGCTGTGCATGCAAGCCATTTTACTATGCAGTAGACATTCCTGGGAATACACTGCATATGGTCGGAAAGGCAGGGTCATGATGGCACTTGAATTGGCATGTATAGTTTTGGATTGGTGGAGATGATGAAATTCAGTGCCTTCTTTGGCTGGGCATTTGTTTTAGGAGGTTGCTGAGTCAATACACAGACATTAGTGCATCTTCAACTAGAGTATTACCTTCTCTATGTAGACAATCTCATCATTTTTGCCTCAGCCACTTTCTCTGGGTCACCTACTGTTTCTTGATGCTTGCTTCTGACAGAGTCACTGCCTCTGTTGTCAGAACAGTCGGCTGTATGCAGGGAGCTGCCGAAGTCTCTTTTGGCAGCTCAGATGCTTTTTTGTCCTGGAATGTCTATACATGGGCTTTGTGACCCAAGTTATTTAAAGCTCTCACAGAACTTTAATTCATGTAACTCTTTTCACCAACACATCCCAAAACAGCTAAAGGGAAGTCTATAAACAGCATGGTTTATATCCTTGTTTTCAAAGGCAGGAAAGCTGGTGTAGGGGGAAGGTCTGTGCATTGGCCAAAATTTCAGCAGAACAGTGAACAGGAAGAGGAATGAGGCCAAACTCCCCACAAACTAGGTCACACTGTCCCTTCAGCGGATGGGACGTTACAGTCAAGTTGCCAGTGCCACTGAGAGAGGGTAGGGGAAGTCAGATTCGGGGAAGCAGGCACGGGGTGAAGCTGTGGTGAAAAGGCTGTGGAGGAAGAGGAGCACTAAAGCAGATAGTCACAAGCTCTAAGTCACTCCTGGGGTGGCTGAAGCTCCCTCCTTTCACTGCTTCTGCAACAGCATGACCAGAGTTGCCATCTGGCTTCTCACCACACTTTATCCTGTTGCTTGGTGGTGAGGGAAACAGAGGTACCGCCTGGGTCCCATTGCCTCCACAATAGCTTTAGGACTTCCCAAAAGCCCAGATCTCAGGCAGTAATTTAGCTCTGGATGGGCATAGCTATGTTTCCCCAGGGCTGGCACCATCTGGCACTAGCTTTCTCCATGGAAAAGTATGAGCAGTCCACATCACAGGTTTTGCCCTGTGCATACAGTGATTAATACACACTGCAGAGTGAACTTCCATGAGAACCTTCTGCTCTGGATATTTTACGTGTTCACAGGGAAAAAGGAATACTAGGCCCATAAAAATGGTCCATCAGACCAGAGGACTACATTGGCTCTGTATCCTGTCTGTATTGGTGGTCAGTTGTAGGTACTGAGGGACCTTGCTGAGGAGCAAGGCAAGTACTGTGGAAATAAGTTTCCCATCTGCTGAAGACTTAAGGAGTTCCTATCAAAAGTTCCGGGTTTTACTGTGGCAGAGATTACACCTCTGCTGCTATGTTTTCTAGCCAATTCTGGGCAATTAATTTACCCAGGACATTCTTAATAACCTTCATATCAGGAGTAGCTGATCTTCTTGCCCTTAAGAGCCTCATACCAAATTTTATGTAGCCGGTTCTATAGGGCAGGTAACATATGCCTTCCTTACTGGCAAGTGGGAATTAACAGCTTCTTTTGATGGCCTGAACTTGGCTGGGCATGCAGGTAAGGCTCTAATTATCCAACTGGGTAACATCCAGTTGGCAACTGCTGGATGCTTTTCATCCTCACAAAGGGAAGGACAGTCTGCTGCTGTCTATTACCTGATACAGCCTAGGCATACTGCCCTTCTTGGACTCAGGAGCTCAAGAGCCATGGACTGTCCACACCAGAATCGTGTATTTGGATTTTACAGCAACTGGTAGCTTGAAGTTTCTCAGTTTAAATTTGTACATTAGCAAAAATGTTTCTGCTCCCTTCTGTAAGACATCTGTTTAGTATTTTCACGTGGTGGTGTTTACTACACATGTTGTCATGGGTGATTAACAAACCATATTTTCTTTTGTGCACATCATGCCTTTATGTCTTTCTGATGTGACTTTTTCCAAGCTGAAGTATTAATCTATGCAGTGCCTTCTTTTATGAAAAACATTCCAGATTTCATATTATCACAGCCATCTTTTGCTGAATATTTTCTTCTAAATCCATTTTTTAAACGCATGACATATGTGAGATGTGGAAGTACCTTACAATTATACAATGGCAAAACAGTGCATTCTGGTTTGTCCTCTTTTCCTTTCTGAATGCTTCCCTACAGTCCATTTGTTACCTATAACTAACTGAGAATTTTGCAAGAGTGATATACAGTACTCATGTCTAAGTGGTAATAGCCCACTTACTGATACAGCGTATACACGATACTATATACACTGCTGGGCTAAATTTTTTCATAGAAAAAAAATCATAGAATCATAGAATGGTTTGGGTTGGAAAGGACCTTAAAATCATTCAATCCCAACCCACCAGCCATGGGCAGGGACGCCTCACACTAGACCATGTTGCCCGAGGCTCTGTCCAACTTGGCCTTGAACACTGCCAGGGATGGAGCATTTACCACTTCTTTGGGCAACCTGTGCCAGTGCCTCACCACTCTAACAGGAAAGAACTTCTTCCTTATATATAACCTGAACTCACCTGTTTCAGTTTAAACCCATTACCGCTTGTCCTATTGCTCCAGCACCTGATGAAGAATCCCTCCCCAGCATCCCTATAGGCCCCCTTCAGATACTGGAAGGCTGCTATGAGGTCTCCACGCAGCCTTCTCTTCTCCAGGCTGAACAGCCCCAACTTCCTCAGCCTGTCTTCATATGGGAGGTGCTCCAGTCCCCTGATCATCCTCGTGGCCTCCTCTGGAATTGTTCCAACAGTTCCATGTCCTTTTTATGTTGAGGACACAGTGCTGCAAGTGGGGTCTCATGAGAGCAGAGTAGAGGGACAGGATCACCTCCTTTGACCTGCTGGTCACACTTTTTCTTCCTCTATAGAATATTATCTATTGATTATATTCCCACAGTGAAGTTTATTTGCCATTTTTGCTGCACAGGCCCACCATATGACAAAACTTTTCACAAATCTGTAGGTCAGTTTCCACAAATACAGAAGTTGTCCAGTTCCCCTGGACAATTATGAGAAAATTGTATTTCCCACATCATTTAGAAGTCTACTGAAAAACAGGGGTCCCAGCAGAGCCTCCAGAAATTTTCACTGGTTTTGTTTCTGATCTTTTAACCTTTGATAAAAGTTAAATGTTGTTCTGCTCTTTTTAACACTTTGTTTCTGATCTTTTAACCAATTAGTTGAAGACAGAATTAATACTTTGATTTATTAGTAAAAACTAGTAACATTATCCAGTTTATTGTATACCAGCTTGGTTTAAGGGTCTTTTGTGAGGGGCCTTTGTTGAAAGCTCTTTGAAGATGCAAGTACACTTGTGTTACAATAAACCACTGCTCTCTGAAATCCTTTGTGTGCTCATCTTAATAAGGTCCCAGACTGCAAGCACACACATTTTTGCTCAGCGTGAAAAGGATTTGGAAACCTGGATAGGCAAAGACAGGAGCAACCAGACAAGTGGGTGGTTTTTCTCAACCCTAAACCTGCTGAATTTTCAGCCTCTTTTAGCTAATGCTTTTGAGTCTCAATAGGAGATTGTGGGATATACAAAAATAATGAACAGCCTGGAACCTTTCACACCATCCTTACTCCCTGCTGTGAAGCTGAACAAAACATGCTTTGTAAAGGGCTCTCTATTAGCATAGAAATTATTCCTTCCACTGCAAGCATTTTCCTGCTTTAAAGCTAATTAGTTAGGCAGTTTAATATGTATAAACCCAAAATAAAATGAATGCTTATGTGTACATGCACTGCAATTCATAGGTAATGGATTAAGCATGCTGGTTTGCTAAATTCTTTTCACTTAATACTGTTTCCTTAAAACTGTTTCACATTTCTGATCCTCTTGATTCTTGTTTCCCTCTCTTCCTAGGCAGTACATGGTGCTACTGCCCTTTCTGATACACACGGATGCTCCTGAGAAAGTCTGTGTTCAGCTGACCCACCTGAATGAGTCTGTGACACTGAGTGCCACACTTGAGTATCAAGGGGAAAACAGGAGCTTGATTGATGACGTGGTGTCAGAGAAGGATGTATTCACCTGCATCCCTTTCTCTGTGAGTATCTCATCCTTGTGGAATGATCCCTTGCGTGGCATAGTGTATCTAAACAGTCCTGAAATGAGAAACAAGACATACTGCAATCAGAAACTTCTAATATAAGCCAAACAAAAAAAATGAATTTGACTTGGAAAATTAACTATGGTAGTCTTATGAGGAATATTTATCCACCATTATCAGATGCTGTGTCCCACATGATATTTCTGCACATTCAGGGCTTAGAGAATTTTTTGGGGCTCCTTCATCCTAGAATCTCAACAGACAGAACATACCCCATATTTGTTTGATCTGTGTAAACCTCAGAGGAAAAATAGTGAAGGGTAATAAGAACCATAGAAGCTGGGGAATGGTTAAAGATAGTGAGGTCCATGAGGTCATTTGTCTTCTTCTGGAGCTTATTCATGATTTTTTCCTGCAGGCGGCTGGTTGGTGAGTAATACAACCAACTGGCCCATTGCCTAAATAATGAATCTGGGTTGATTTCCGTTTTGATAAATTGTAAGATGCAACAAGATCAGATTCAATATTTCTCTAAGGAAAGTATATAAATGAAGGAAGGGAAAAGGTTTCTAGTACTGGAAGCAGAGGAAGAAGCAGCATGGAGAAAACTCAAGGAAATGGAGATCTACCATTGCAAAAAATCCTGAAAGGAAAATTATTTTCTTGAGACAGAGGAGACAGGCTCTCCAAGTTCATATCAGGAAATCATGTTTTTCTCTTTCTTCTAGCACTGAGCCTTTGGTGTCTGTTTAGACAACTTCCATACCTAGCTAATACACTGTCTTTCAAAGGATCAGTGAAATGGAGCGAATCGGTAAAGCAGTTATCCTCTTCATTTTCCTTAGCTTCCAAAATCCAATAGCCCATCAGTCACGTTTGTCACCGTAACAGTGAAGGGCACAACACTGCAGTTCAAGAGCCGCAAGTCGGTGCTGGTCAAGAATTCTGAGAGCTTGGTCTTCGTCCAGACAGACAAACCTATCTACAAGCCTGGACAGACAGGTATGGGGAATTGGGTTGGTGCTGACTCTGATGGCAGAAAATCTTACAGTCTTCATTTCCTAGAGGCCCCATACTTTTATTATAGTTTTCAGACTTCCTGGGGGGAGTTAAAGCACTCAGTAAATCTTATTTCTGTCAGCTTAGATCTAGGGCATGTGGGACTTTTGCCATTCCTATTCTGTATATAAGGAAGAAGTTCTTTACTGTGAGGGTAGTGAGGCACTGGCACAAGCTGCCCAAAGAAGTGGTAAATGCTCCATCCCTGGCAGTGTTCTAGGCAAGGCTGGACAGAGCCTTGGGTGACGTGGTTTGGTGTGAGGCGTCCCTGCCTATGACAGAGGGGTTGGAGCTAGATGATCTTAAGGTCCTTTCTAACCCTAACTCTTCTATGATTCGATGATTCTATGATCCTCCACTCTCCAGGCACAGCATCTCAGCCAGATCTAGGAACAGTCTCTGATTTATTCTACACTACTAAGAGGCACAAATCTGGGATGACTTGAAAGCATAGTCTCCCTTGGCTGCACCTGAATCAGCAAATCAGGACAGGCCCTCACAAGTGACAATTCAGGTCAGCCAAGATGTGATTATCCTTCTAAATTTATCTGCCTCTCACCATCTGTAAGAGAAGGAGCCTGAAGTAATTGCTTCTATTACTTGGACATCTCGGTTCAGCCCCTGTTGATCTATGGAATGAATCTGAGCTATAAATCATTGAAAAAGTGAGATTTCCTGGTAATCACTACAAATCTAACAGTAGAATTTCCTTCTTTTCTGTTGCACCCTTAGTTCTATTTCGGATCGTCTCTCTGGACAAAGATTTCCACCCGCTGAATGAGAAGGTAGAGCCATAATTCCTCACTGTTAGCCAGGATGTTTAATTCCCAATTAACACTATCATCATCCAGAACCAATGAAGACAGCCTCTAAAGCATATGATCCTTTCTTGATCACACCATCCTTGAACCATTCCATATCATATCCTGGATACACTCCACCTGTCTCTTGACTGAGAAACATATGCCATTTTTCAAAGGAATATAGGTTTTTAAAACCAGATTTGCAAAGGAATGTATATGGCTAAGCATGTAGGCAGGGATCTCCTTACGAAAATAAATAGGTGGGACAAGTTTCCATTGAAAGTGACAAATGCGCAGCAATTTCTGCCAGTGGATGCACCCACATGCTTAGAGGCAAAGAAAGCAGTATGACAAAAACTGGTTTAAAAGAAGTGGTCAGGGGTGTAAATCCACCTTTTAGCATATTTGGTAATCAGTTCCTCATGCAGACAAGTTCTTTGAAAATTCTAACTTCATCTCATTTTCATACTGTGGTGAGACAAAAAGTTGGGGCTCTAAAATATTAAAGAAGAGATTCCCTTAACCATCACGAACTAATGAAAGAGAACAAATACGGAAAAGGAAGGACACAATGGACATTTTGGAAGGTTGTTCTACTGCCCCTAGGTCTGAATCTGGAAATGTCTTCCATCCATGTATGACTAATGTTTCTAACACTGATTTTATTTTGTTCTTTCCCCACAGTTTCCATTTGTCTATGTTCAGGTGAGTGAGTAACTACATGTCTATTATTCCAGCAGAATACACAGGCACAGAGGTAGTAGTTTCCAGCAGTAGCATTTTCAGGCTGAGGTGCAAAGCAAAAGACATGGGCACATGATCTTTTTCATTGTGCAATGGCAGGCTGAGTAGTCGGGTATCAAAGTAAGTTCCACCAATGGTTCTTTGACTGGGGAATGTGCTGTAGGAACAAAACAGTTAATCAGTGCAAGCTATGCTGTGGACAGAATTACACTTGCATACAGGTTGTACCAGAATTGCTTACTCCTCTTCCCAAACAGAACTAAGATTTTGTGTCTGCCAGCTGTGGCTGTTTAACACAGAACTGTGTTAAACAAATGAGCAAAAATAAGGGAACAAAATTCTGTAAGTGTAGGTTGGTTCCCTGTCTTCCCAAGCATCACGTTTTTGTCTGGTTTGTTTGGGAGTTTTTAACTGTTGAACTTCAGTGACAGATAAAAGTTAACAGGGAGGATGTTTCTGTGGGACACACACAGGCTATGCTCCTCTTTTCTATCCTATGCTCCTCCTATCAGAGTGCTGTCACTCTTCCTCTTAGCAAACTTCCACAACAGAGCTGCAGATCTGATGGGCCACCGATGGTCTGTGACTATTTTGAGAAAGAAGAGAGCAATGTGGTGTGGGATACAAGGCGGAGGAGAGCATCAGAACTACCTTCTGCTGAGGCTCTCTCATGTGGTTGCCAGACAGGTCCGTTCCCTTTCAGTGAGGTGATACTTGACTGAGTAGAGGGATTTTATGAAAGGAGCAAGAAGAAATAAATATACACTCCTCCAGAAATCCCACATGCCTTTGCTTAAGAAGCTGAATAATTTCATAATTCTTTTTTTGTCTCAGTACCGCAAAAGGCTACAATTTTAAATCATTAGGAAGGCCACCTTGTGTTTTCAGCTCCAGCCTGTAATGCATGGTGTTTGTCCATGCTGCTTAAGCTGGTTCATGAAGGACGTTTCCTCCATCCTCACCATCATCTCTCCCTTAGTGCTCCTTCTCAGACCAACACTACCCTTTGGCTTTTACAGATGTCTGCAAGGCAGTCTTGTAGAGTGGGAAACTCATCTGGCAGCACACGCACCATATTTCTCTAGGGTATTTTTCCTTCAGCCAGATCAGATCTGCCAGTGCAGTTTACCACATTCTTGCAAGAAATTTGGACTGCCCAAAGGAAAGGGTGGCAGGAGTGAAGAAAGGTGAGAGCTTAAAGTCAGCAGTGCTAAGGAAAGGAAAGTTCATCAGTCCATACCCTTAATGTCACTAATTGATTGTAGTCAGCCACAAAGGTAGAAGTCAGTGTGAGCCTATTATTTCTGAGCTATTACCTTGACCCATTGCTTCTGTCATTAAAAAAGAAAATCACAAAAACCTTTCTGAGGAAAACCAAACAAACTTTCAGGCCTTCCCTACAAATACATCACAGAAATGGCAACAAGTTCACAAGCCCAGCTGTAAATATTTTCTTGAATTCCTCTTCCAAGGAAGTCAGTGCTGTCCCTCACAGTAAGCATTGAGCTTTTCAGCAGGGTTGAAATGTGATGATAAAGAGAATTTTGTCAGGTCAGCAGAGTGGGATGCATTTTACTGACTGTGCACCTCCTGGGTTACTTCTTAGGAAGAAGGCTGCCTCTTCTACCCCCTGACAAGTGACCTCCAATGAGGGGATGTCATTCACAACCCTTTTCCTCTAAGCCCTAAGATAAAATCTCAGTGCAGTAAATGCACACAGTCACATACCTTGAGTCACATATCTATCTAGAGTAAATAGAATCTTGGTGACAGCCAAGATACAATGCAAAGAGCAGGCAGAGAATGAAAGACTGTAAACATTAACAATTCCTGCTAAGGAGCCAGGAAAAGGTTCATCAAACTTTGCAGCACCACTGTGCTGGTGCAGTAACTTCTACAAGAAATTTGGAGCTGAGCTGATGAATTTGGAGCATAGCCAAATTAGCAGAGCTCATCATGGTTCATGGTGAGCAATATTCAGCTGTAGTAGTGATAAGACTTCAGCTCCAGCATTAGGAGCAGGGAGAAACAAGAAGGTAGAGCCCATATGTGGGATATATTTTCCTCTCTTCCTGTCCCCACTCCATCCCAAGCTTTGGACTCCTCCGTATTTCTCAGTCCCATGAATAGATCAGGTGGCTCATTCAGCAGATTATGCACTGGTTCTCAGCCAGTCTCTGTTCCTGGCATGGAAAAAAAAAAAAAGGAGCAGGCTGTATAGCAAGTGAAGGAGACTGAAACTTCCCTCTTTTCTCCCTATGCTCCATTTATTCCCTATGCTGTGCATCTCTCATCTTTTTACCTTGCCTTGCCAGCCCTTTCCCAGCTTCCTGGCTTCATCCTTCATAAGCATGCAGGTATAGCTGAGGGGTAGACAACCCAGAACCTCCAGGGTTAAAAAGCTTTCTTCCATGCCAGTTATGCAGAACTGACAGGTAAGCACTCACAGATCCTCACAGATTATGGAATAATTACAGCTAGGCATTTCCCAACCAGGATATATATGTACACTGGGCATTCCACTGCTGTCCCTGGGAGCCTCCTGTACTGTCTTGTGACCTTGAGTTATCCTAACCTGCAGGATCCCCAGAGGAACCGTGTCTACCAGTGGCAAGAGGTGGAGCTAGAGACTGGCCTTACACAGCTCTCCTTCCCCCTTACCTCGGACCCCATCCAAGGCTCCTACAAAATAGTTGTGCAGAAGAGCTTCTCGGCCCATGTGGAGCACTCCTTCAGGGTAGAGGAATATGGTAAGGAGATGAGATATGGGCTGCAAGCAGGACTGACAGCAATGCCTTATACTGTAACCTCGCAATTTGGGATTTGCTGGTAATGGCATGGAGAAGGGAAGGACTGAATACACAGGCAATGGTGTTCAGAGGGGCTGGCCCTGGCGGTTCTGAGTATCAGAGGTGGTTGCTCTTTTTATGGCATCTCTGCAACCTGCCTGAGGTTGTATTTGCTCCTAGTGCTCTTGGAAGTACAGAGTCCAATAGGCTTCCTGTGCAGGGCTTATGCCACCAATTTCAGTTGACTCTGTTTTAGTAATTTTTCAGTCCAGCAGCTTGTTGCAAGCACCACTAGATACAGAGTAAGAGATGACAGTATTTTGGTGACCCTGTTTTGCCCCTCTCATCATCTACATCAGTTCTGTTTCTCCACTTGCAGTCCTCTGTCTTTTTCCTCTTCTCCTTTGTTTCTGCAAAAGCTTGGAAAACATGTTTGGTAGAAAACTTCAGTTTGAAGAAGAGCACTCCACAGATGTTACAAGAGGATGCAAACAGACTGGTAGTAGAGGCTGAGTAAGGAGAAATGTGCTGCCCCAGGGAGCATTCTAACCCCAATTTCTATAATAAAACCTCTCAGGTATTTGTAGAAGTGTACTCAGGCTAGGCTCTGTGTTGGAGGAGACTGCTTGGCCTGTGCTCTGCAGTCCCAGTCTCCCCCCCAGCTGTACATGCAGCCCTAATGACCCAGTGCATTGTTCAGAACCTGCTGTTTCTGGAATACACAGGGTTCAAACCAAAGAAGATTGTCACTGAAATCCATGGGGCTGTCTTATTTGGCTTTACATCAGGCTTGGTGGCTAGTATGAACATGGTGAATAACTTGAACACAAACCTGCTTATTACAGGCTTCAGCCTGCCATGCTGACAGATGGGCTGTGCCTCCTCTCACAAAGATCATTCTGAACATCCCCCAGAATCACAGATGTATGTCACTTTCTTAGCTTTAAACTAACTTAATTGTTCTTTAGTTTGTTCTTCAGTCTTATTCCCATGAATCTCCCCTGTTGCTAGTTCCCTTACAGCCTTTAGAGGAAATGTGCCCTGGGGTTGAAACATGGTGCCTTGCCTCCCATCCTAAAGGCAAATGTATGGCTAAACTGCATAACCCAGGATTGTTTTCCAGTTCCTGGACCTGGTTGTGTACCCCCTCTGCTCTTATTTCCTTGCACTGTAAAAAAAATCTATCAGATTCACCATCTGGAAGCAGGCCATTGAATGCCTCAGTCCGGTCCTAGACTTGAGTAGTTGGGGGATTAGGTTTGCAGGATGCAGTGTAGGAGAAGGAATGTAATTTAATACTCAGGAGCAAAATATGTCTTTTCCTTGCCACCCTTTATATTAGGCTTTATTTCTGACTTGACACTTTGAAAATAAAAACCTGAGAGTCTGTGTCTAGATTCACAAGAACGGTGTGGATGCGGAGGACAGCTTCACATGCTACATATTACTGAGCCTAACAGTAACAGTTACTGTTGGGATCTCCAGAACAATAACAACCAACCAAGTGAAAAAAATGGTTCAAGCTGTTTCCATGTGGTAAACTACAAAGGCGGTGAATGTGCTGCAAATTATGGACACAATACACAGGACCATTGTGTCCTGAATGGGCATATGTAAGAGATCTACACAGCTGTCTGAGATCACATGAGCATGTGCTGCAAATAAGAGAAGGTAAGGACTACAACACTCTTTAATTCCCTTTAAATGCAAACAGTGGTGAAGGCTAAGAAAACCTAGTGAAGGGGTAGCAGGGCTGTGCTGAAGACCCCAGAAAGGTGATGGTTCATGTTAAGATGATCCTGGCTCTGTGTTTGGGTTGCTTGTGTGGCTCTCCTTCACTATTCTCATATCAGACTTTCTCCCATCTAGTGCTGCCTAAGTACGAGGTCCTGGTGAAGCTGCCCAAGATGATCACTCTTAAGGACAAGGAGCTTCCAGTGTCCGTCTGTGGTCTGTGAGTCACAAGAGTCACAGTCTTCATCACTTATCCTTCCCTCCTCCTTTATGCTGAGGTCTGAAGGACAGCTGGGGAAGGGTTTTCATGCTTTTCCCAGACATCCCATGCAGCTTTGTTCCACTGTATTAATCCTGAGCCTGATACTTGGCCTGAACAATCAAAGTGAAAGGTCTTCTCTGGGTTTCTTGAAAGATGATGCCAAACAAATCTGCAGCTCTCTCATATCAGTTTGCTGTCTTTTTCTGTCTTTGCATTTCTTCAGTTAGAGATTGTCTACCAACCCTGAACCCTCAAATACTCTGAGATGTCAGATCAGACATCATTTAAACAGGTGGTACAAACCCAGTGTTCTTATTTTTAACTCATAAATTGTTCCTCCAGTGCCCCTGGTTGGTTTTCTACTTCTTCAGTGAGCCCTCAGCAGTTTGTGATACAGGGATCCTCCTGGCTGAAGTAATATTCTACAATGTTTTCCTGCATTGCTGCAGAGAGCTCCCACCTGGAGCAGGTTCTAATAGATAATGGAAGAATCTCAACATGGAAATTATGGAAATGTAGTCACTAGAATCATTCAAATATCACATTAGTCAGCCTTCAAAAGGAAATACTAGGAAGTCATCCACAAAGGTCTTTTGGGAGATGTGTCTGAGTGTGACTCTGACTGATTAACCCTTTGTCATTACAGTTACACTTATGGAAAACCTGTTCCTGGCTTGGTCAATGTCCAATTGTGCCGGAAATTCTCCCGTTCTGCTTCAAATTGTTATGGAAAAGAAGCAGAAGCTGTGTGTGAAGAATTCACTAGGCAGGTGAGTCCCAGTATTAAAATGAAGGGGTCTTTCTTATGGATAACAGACAGTGTTGTCTAAAGAAGGCCAAATCTGTAACTGGTGGGAAACAGTAGGACATCAGAGGTAGTATTCTGTCTGGGGAAAAGTAGATGTTCTTAGAGGAGGGCATTCTTAAGAGTTGAGTCATTAAACTGGAAACAAAACCGATGAAGAAAACCCCACAGCTGAAACCCTAACCCCATTGAAGCTAAAGACAAATCTCCACTTAGCACCTGTGAGGTCCCTGCTATGGATCCCCAAACTGAAAAAAGAATCTGTGAGAGAATACTGCAACTGTGGGAGGGACTGGCAGGGAGCATGAGCAAAGAGGATGAGGAGAAAACAAGAAGGTGGTATTGCAGATGGGTTAAAGACAGGAGAAAGGAGAAACACAAAGAACTAAAGTAGGAGGGGGTTAACAAGGAAACCAGTGCATTCCTTGTAGAACTGAGTGTCAAGTACTTCAGAGAATACAGAAAATGTGTGGATGAAACACTACGAAACAGGCTGTAAACAATTTCTGATCTTGGAGACAACCCTAGAACATAAGGCTGGGATTTCCTGAACAAAAGTTAAGCATGTTAACTTTGGAGTATCTCTTCCTGTCCCACAAGGCACCAGATCTGTCCAAAGAATTCCAATTTTCTCTCCAATCCCCTGTTTAGGCAGATGCTCGTGGGTGTATTTCTGGTGTAGTAAGAACCAAGATATTCCAACTCCAACGCCGGGGATATGAGATGAGCATTGAGGTACAAGGCAAGATCACAGAGGATGGGACAGGTATGTATCACATAGGGATGGCAAAGTGATGGCAGACCATAAAAGGGGAGGGCCTGGCAAAGATAAGGAAGGTGGAGTGACCTGCCTATAAATGCTGCTATTCATAATAACCCCTCTTTACTGTGCTCTGTCTCAGGAATAGAGATGACTGGAACAGGCTCCTGTGGAATCACACCCATCATGAGCAAAATCAGCTTTGACTTTCTGGACTCTCAGTACAGACCAGGGATCCCAATCTTTGGGAGGGTAGGGAACTTACACAACCCTGGACAATGAGTGGCAAAGCAAACTCACAAATGCACAATCACCTCAGATGGAATAGCAGTGTGTGCAGATGACATGGTCCACTTTGCAGAGGAATTGCTGAGAATTTGGGCACTCTTAACAGACACATGGCCTTGAGCCTCCTGGCAGTAAGCCTAGTAAAGACTAGAAGGGCCATTGTTCTAACACATGAGAATAACATCAGAGAGGAGCAAACATGGGCTATTCCACAAGGGAACGTAATCCAGGTGCAAAGGGTGACCACAACACAGGTAGGCGCAGTGACCTCATCCACAATGGCACAGTCCCACAGCTCCCAAGCAGGCTAAACAGAGTTGAAGAGGTGTAACAAGTTCCGCCAACAGTCCAGTGACCACCAGACAGTGTGAGGTGATGAGTCAGGGCTGAGCTCAACCAAGGAAGTCCAAGTAACCAGATGGGAACAACAGGAGAAAGAGTGTAGGGTATCGGTCTACCTCCAATGTAGCTTTAGTGAAGGACTGGGGCAAGGCAGAAGCCTGAATTCAAAGTTCCTGAACCAAGAGGAAGATGATATGTGGTGGAGGTCCCAAATGAGCTTGGCCAGGGGAATTAAAAACTACTGAGGAACTTAGAGCCCAGACACATAAATTCCTTGGACCAATAAGATTGTTTTACTGAGAATTTTCTCAGTTGCTGCCTCTGGCAACGCAGCGCTCACCTCAGACATTTCCACATTCATGTCTTCTGTTCTTCTCTGCAAAGAAATATCCTGCCTGGCAAGCAAGAAAAGAAGGAAGAGGCAGAGGCTTTAGGACTTGGGTATTGTTTGGTGTTTTTAGTCTAAAACCTGAAGTTTGTTTTTGCTATTAGGTGAAGCTGGTAGATGGCACCGATGCCCCAATTGCCAATGAAACCATCATGATTTCTGTGGATGGAGACAGGTACAAAGGGAATTACACTACAGATGAGCGGGGACAATCCTGGTTTTCCATAGACACTACCACCTTCACGCAAGCCTCCCTGGAAATCCGAGTGAGTGGCAGAGACGGGGCAGGGGGACTGGGGTAAGACTATGCCTTTCTGATCAGCTGGGGAAATACCTACCCATGGGTTTTCTCTCTTTCTGCTAATCAGAAAATATAGCAAGTTTCTTTGCATGTCACCTCTCTTCTCTCTGTCTCCTGTGCATGTTCTCTACCTTTGTCTTAGAATGGGAAATATAAAACATACCCATAGTTTTCCTGTGGATTTTCATGTGACTTGTTACATGGTTTTTGTCAGATATAAACGTTTATTCTTCTTTATCAGGCTGATCATAAACCTGAGCTGAACTGCTATGACAGTGACTGGATCACACCTTTATATGAGCATGCCATGCGTAGAATAAGTCGGTTTTATTCCCCCAGCAAGAGTTTCCTCAAAATTGAGCCAAAGCCTGAGACATTAGGTTGTGGCTCCCCCACGGAGATCCAAGTGCATTACATCTTCACACCAGAGGCCATAGGAGAGCAGAAGAAAATTACCATTTACTATTTGGTAAGGATTATTTGTTCTTACTTTGACCTATGGCTACAGAGAGCATAACGACAGATACAGCTATCAGCACTGCTATATGGTCGTCGGTCCTTAGCCACTGATGATAGAAAGTGTGACCTGTGGCAGGGGGCTTTAAACACTTTTCCATAATGTTTCTCGTGTTGTCTTCAATGTACAGACATGGTTAGGGTGTACATATTTTATTAAGAACATAAGAGAGACATAATGTTGGTGGAGAGAGCACAGTCTTGGGCACAGCCATCCAAGGCTTATTTCATAATACTTCACTCCCATTTTTCCCAACTCCAAATTCTGGTCCATATATGGTCACAGCCCAGAAACCAGCAGCCTACAACAAAGTAAAAGATGAGGAGGAGGTCGACTGTCTCATACCCAGTTTTGTCCCTTGGTAGACATCTGACTACTGAAACTAAAGCAACAGCTCTAACTACCGTAACAGAAAAGCCCAATGAGCTTAGAGTGTAGGTTGTATGTCAGACAATGATGGAAAGTTTGGAATACCACGGTAATTGGAACAGGCTATAATGTGCTGTCACTGAGAACTGTGAATTGGTTCATTTTGAGGGGCAGAAAAGACATTAATTCATCTGTGACCAATGACCTGTCAGTTCACTTGGGAGAACAGGAAGAACCAGGTGAATATTCAAATAGAATTTCTTTTCCTCCTAAGTTTGTTTTTCTGGTTATCCCCTTTAATGACTCTAGCAGAAGAGATGAGAGCAGCCTTGAAGAGCTAGAAGAAATCAGTGGAACAGACCCTCCTGTTCTGATGGATTGTACAGCACATCGGGGACAGTGCTTAGACTGACATTACAAAAAAAAAAGAGAACAGAACATGTGTTAGAGATGTCCATATGCTTATTTTCAAGACTGCTAACAATAAATTGAAGCACAAGATTCCTGTTTATCCCTATAGCCTGGGAAAGCTGGTTTTAAGAATATATTTATAAGGCATGCAACAAAATAGTGAGGGAACTTATATTTTCATAGGTGTGGATCCTACATCTTGAAATTAAAATATGGAATAGATATCCTATGTGGAAAGTAATTGTAAAGCCAGCTCTGACCAATGAGGAAACACTGGTCCTCCTAGGCGTGAATATTTTTGCCTCCAAAGACACAGTAAATTCCAGTCTGGCACTTGCTTAGTATTTTCTTGGTTTTGTTCACAGTTAGCAGCACTATTCATATTCACACTCTACAGTTAACCTAGTGCATGTCCATTTTTCTTCCCTTCAACACCAGTAGCAAAATTACAGAAAGGTTTCTCTGTCACACAGGTGATGGCCAAGGGAGGCATTATATTAGCAGATACCTATGATCTGGCTGTGAATCCTGGAAATGGTGAGCAGAACTTTGCATTTTAGCATCTTTGATGAGAATTTTGGGGGTTTTATAAAAGTATTTAATGTTTGAACTGAAATGCATTCTCAGAATTAAATCTTTTAAATTAAGTGGCTTGGGTTAGGTTTGTTTTCTCTGAGTTCTGTAAGGTCCTATGTTTTTGAGAAGAAAATTTTAGAAAATTCAACAAAAAATCTGCATAATATTTTGATTATTTTTTCAAATACCTTTTAAAATATTCAAATATTTTTTTTTAAGTTTCAAACCAACTTTACCCTATTCAGACCATGGATACTTACCAGTGTTGTGAGACTCATATGTACAGTGAGCAGAAGAGCATGTTTCTTTTTCTTTCTCTCCAATCCTTCTTTTTTTTGGTCTTGTTTCACCCTCGTAAGCATGCAAATACACACATCTCTATATTCTAACCAATAAATTTAATTTTATTCAAATAAATGTCCAAGAGTTACACATTTCAGTAACTGAGACTGGCTTTATGATGAATGAGACCTAATGGATATTTCGAAAGTGTATGAATGAGAAGGTGCATAAACAGTGGGTATAAACAGTATATAGAAGTAAAAGATCTTGGGTGTTACATATTCATAGGTAGTTCTGCATCCTCACTAGTAGCAGTGACTAAGCTAACACTCTGGCTAATATCAAGAGATGTTCTATCACCTTGTCCAGATTGCTCAGGCCCAGCTAGAACAGAGGGGCATTTTCCATATGGTTCAAGTGATAGTTTGGTGTTCCAGCTAAATGCTTGCTTATCAGTAACTTCAAAAAGTTGTAGCCTCCCCGCAACCTTGACTGATGTTGCCTATTACAGCAATCCCTTATTTCTATGTTTTTTGGAGATGGCAGAAGATCTTGGAGTTTCAGAAAAAGAAAGGGGTTGGGAACATCAAGAAATTATGCCAGATGTTAACTTGGGAGAATCTAGAAGGCATGTTGAGGCCCATCAAACTCATTTCGTTTGGCTATTACATGCTCACTGTCTGAATGCAGGTGTCTTCAGCAACAGCCATAGACTTTAGTCATATATCAGTCAGTATTCCTGCCCCTGCTATCTAAAAATATTCAGTATGAGTGAACTTGACTTATCTGAGGAGGACAAATGTGTATACTGAAACTTCCTGTACATTGCTTAGCTGTTTTTCTCTTTGTTAGTTTATGGGACATTTCAGTTGACCTTCCCTGTTGAGGCAGCAATTGCTCCCCTGGCACGGATGCTTGTGTACACCACTTCACCCAGTGGGGAAGTCATTGCCAGTTCAGCAGATTTCCAGGTCGAAAGTTGCCTCCCCAGTAAAGTAAGTATAAGCCAGGGTTTATGCAACCCATGTTTGTCTTGTGGCCAGTAGTTCATTCTGAGTTCCGTGGAGGCAGAATTCACAGCCGGTTCATGAAATGGTCTGACCAGATGTTGACTGAGGATTAGGGATAGAAACTCCAGAATAGGTTACTAAGCCATAACTATAAAAAGTGGAGCAAGACAGAATAAGAAGAAATCACTGGCCATTATTAATTATATTCATCAAAGCTGAAGATATATATTGGAATGTCAAGGCACTAGCAGAGCTCAGTTTACAAGGCTGGATGCTTCAGTATAATAGCATCTAACAGCATCTGGAAATGTGTCTGCTTTAACTTCCTTGTGGAATTGCAGGTTAGATTGAGTTTTGTACCCAAGGAAGGTCTTCCAGCCTCTAACACACGCCTGCAACTCCGTACTTCACCGAGGTCCCTGTGTGCACTCCGTGCTGTGGACAAGAGTGTTCTCCTTATGAAGCCTGAGGATGAGCTCTCTCCCAGCTCTGTAAGTCTTAAATATTTCCGGTAATGAGCAAGTACGAGAACCAACTAGGTAGCTATTGACACCACTATAGACATGGGGCCATGTATTTTTATAGCTGCATTTACACTTCTTTTTAGAAGCTGGCCTTTATCAGTGGAGTGTTAGGTAGTATCTATGTCCCTGTAAGCTCTGACTTGCAACATTTTGCCCTGATTCTTTGTGTTTCTCCAGGTGTACGATCTTCTCCCAGTGAAGGAAATCCATGGTTATAGCTTCAAGGACTACTACCTGGAAGAAGACAACATAAATCCTTGTGTGTCACTTGACAACATATTATTAAATGGATTTGTCTACATACCCATTTCTCCTGATGGTGAAGGTGATGCCTATGACATTCTCAAAGTAAGTGCCAGCCTTTCATATTTCTTTGGTTTTCCTTTTTGGAATTCAGTCTCCTCTTCTCACCTGTCCTGAAAGGCTTTTTAATGAACTTTACTGTGAGCTTGTTAACTTCTGTATGCAAGACAACAACCAGGCCCAGGCCCTGCACCTATGTAGCCCACTGCTGGTACCTGAGTGCTTCTCTGAACCATTAAAACTTTTAAAGGTCTCCTCATTGCTGTTAGAGATACCTGCAAATTGACCCAAGTAAGGAACCAGTCCTGAAAGTGACATCTGGTACCATAATATTAGAAACTCTTCCTCAGTCATGCATATTCTCTATCTGGTGTAGATAGGTCTTTAATAAAGTGACAGCTACTTTGACAACCCACAAACTGACCTGTACCCATCTAAAGAGTCCTGTACAAGAATTTTCGGGTACCCTCAATCCGGTGCTTTTCACACATCATTTTCACCCTGGCAGATGTCCCCACAGTAGACTTGTGGCCTTAGCTTTCCATCTGATCATGCCAGCATTTAGCCTCAGGATGAGTGTAACATGATAAAGCTTCAACATCTGGGTTGAACCAGTCTATCTGGCATTTATATACAAGCCTTTGTTATTCTGATTGATACCAGACTTAGGTATGTCTATTCTTGACATACTAGAAATAGTTCATTTTCAAGTGTGCTTGCGTATTTTCTGTTCTTCTTTCTCTTTGTTTACTAGGAATTGGGCTTAAAAGTCTTCACTAGCAGCAAGATCCATAAGCCTGAAATCTGCCAGCATTACCCAGGACACATGATGGAAAGGAGTTACAGTGGTTCTAGTACCTTCTTCATTTTACCCCCCACACAACTACCTAAAATTTATGACTCCTATTTCTTTGAATATTAATTACGCCAGGCAGATCAGATTGTATTCTGATATGTTGACCTAATTCAGGATCACTCTTTCCTGGACTCAGTCCCAAAATATGAAACTGATCCACCTCTGCCTCCTTATCCCCAGCTAGGCAGCTAGTACCTGGCTGGCGCTACATGTGCTTGGTGACTGCAATGCCAGCCCCTGCAGCAGAAATTCTGTAGGCACTAAAGCAGTCTGCCAACACGAAGTAGTGGCTTTTTTTCCCCTCAGATGTGAGTCCAGCTATGGAAACCTTAAAAAAGGAGTCTCTATTTCTAGATAGTCACATTCCAGAAATAACTAAAGGAACTACTAGGGCAAAAGTGGGCCAAGACAAATGAGAAGGTGGTACACTTCTGTGGGTAGAGGCTGAGAAATTTCGCTCTATTCCCTGCAATCCATTCACGTGACTAAGAGTCTGGGTAGGTCATGTCACTTCTCTGCAACTTCAGTGATTGTGAAGATAGAATAATATTACCTTTTTTATCTGAATAGTTCTGAGATTAGAAAGGCCACATAAAACACTTGCCTATGCCACTTCCGGTTACTGGGTTTCCTGGTGCAGTTTCCCAGCTCCTATTAAAAAATTGCAGCTTTTTGTCTGGTGATAGCTTCTAGCCTTCTATTTATAACAGATCAGATCTTTGGTTTGAAATGCAGGATTTGTCTTCAAAGCACGGCCTGAGACAGCTGGCTGCTTTGAGAAGACGTAAAAGTCTTCTAAGGCTGAAGGAAAGCCTTTCATAAGGCACAACACTATGCAACACTGACAAAGTGTCATGGTTCCTTCGCTAATGGCCAGAGATTCAAAGACCCATATTAATCTCAAAAAAAAGCTTAGATAGAGGAGGGGAAGACTAAATGTGACTTCTGTGTCTGGTCATGAATATCCATCTATTCTTCAACCAGATTTAATAAACTATATGCAACTGCAATATCTGGAGTCAGTAAGTTCCACATTTGACTCTATATTGCAATAGAAATGTACCCTCAATAACATCATTATACTTGGCTCTTTTGGCACTGCTGGGTTTGCTGGCAGTGGGGGAAGAATGTTCAACCCCATCCAATCTCTGTAAGAACAGCAGCAACATTAGGAAAAACGAAATGAGATGACAACAGAGAAATACATCTGTTTCCATTTACCAAGGTTTCAAAGCTGTTCTTTCAATTTAAAGATTTTAGCTAAGAATAACCACTGCCTGGAAGGAAAGTATCCTCCTGATTCAGAAAGAAGTCTGACCTGTCTTTTTCTTTCTTCCTGTCCTTGAACAAATTTACTCTAGTGACTGCATTGAATCTGCTTGAAGATTTGGACTATGAAGTAACAGAACGTATGGTTGCTGGCAATCCTGTGGAGACTGTCCGGAAGTACTTTCCTGAGACATGGATATGGGACATAGTTACAGTGAAGTAAGTGTTTATGGTCATGCAGAGAGTGGTCTCTGCAGCAAACACTCAAGAGATACTTAAGCCTCAATGGAAGTATCAGGTATTTCAGTAGGAGTAGTATTTCTAGTAGACAGAGGGATTTTTCAAGGTCACTAAGTACAGGATGCTTTGGGGGGGACACGCAAAAGCCAGTGCCCATATGGAGCTGGTCAGGAGTTCGCTGTTAGCAGGTGTTGTTCAGTAGGCTGAGAAAAACGTAGATGATCCCCAGAATATAACTGAAGTCTTGTTCTCTGTCCCTCACCAGCTCTGAGGGAAATGCTGGTCTAGATGTGACCATCCCTGACACCATCACCGAGTGGAAAGCCAACGCATTCTGCATTTCAGCAGACACGGGCTTTGGCCTGTCCCCAACAGTGACCCTCAGAGCCTTCCAGCCCTTCTTTGTAGAGCTCACCATGCCCTACTCTGTAGTGCGTGGTGAGTCCTTCACGCTGAAAGCCACCGTTTTCAACTACCTGACCACCTGCATCAGGGTAAGACACACACACAACTTTGCTCAGCCCGACAGCTTAGGGAAGACTACAGTGGGCAATTTATAACAGTTTCCTCAAGCCAGATGACTTGGCCCTAACAATAATTTCATATAGATGTACTTCTGTAGGTGTTCTAGGTGTATTAAATGAAGGGGAATATGTTTTTCTGACAATGTTTTGAAATCTCCGTTTGATTCAGAACCTAAAGCTTTGCTGCTGAGGCCCCCAGCTTTGTCGTCACAGGTTAATGTGATTGTCCTATAGAAATAGGGAACTTGGGTTATCCACAGACCACAGAGTCATTGCATACCCACACAGAAACTCTAGGGTCACCAGACTGTGTTCATTCTTCAGTCTGATCTCATATAAACATCTCACAAAGTTTCACACCGTATTTGCTTGAATATGTAGACTGTGTTTTATTGCATCTGCTCATAAGACGCTGAGCAGAGAGAACTACATAGCTTCACTATTCTTATCTGCATTTTTTTCACCAACAAAAAAGTGGTTAGTCTTTGAGGTTGGGAGGTTAGACAAAGAAAATACCAATCGCCTTTGCTCAGTTGTTTATAAATACAATTTTATTCTGAAAGGAGTGAAGCTGAAACAAGGAGGGGCACTGATCCAGCCATTCCAGTGCACTCTCATTTATTTCCCTGTCTTTCCTGTTTTGTTTGCAATTTTCAGGTTCCTTATTCCATTCTCCCTTGTTCCTTACTAGGTTTTGCACTGCTAGAGTTTTACCTCTCACCCAACTAATCATGAGGGGGATCTTTAATTCATGGCTGAGTTTGTAGTCACTGCTTTGCCTTTACTCACACAACTTGCCCATGCTCTCCATTTTCCCAGAACCCGTTTCCAAGATACACATCCTGTTCTTTGCACTTACCTGCCCAATCTCTTACAATTGTACACACCTCAGTCTTTTTCCACTTTATCACCTAGTTCTTGCTCTGCAATATCAGTAAGGTTCTCAGTCCCACATTATAACCAGCTCCACTACACATATCTATGTATAGCACTGTGTCCTGTACCCCAGCTTCTCTGCAATTCCAGCCTTCATGACACCTCTCTGTACAAATGGCAGGTCAGTGTGTCTCTGGCTGAATCTACCCATTTTCTGGCAACACTAATAGAGAAGCAGGAAGAATCCTACTGCATCTGCATGAATGAAAGGAAAACTGTGGCTTGGGCAGTAACACCAAGATCTCTAGGTAAGAAGCTGAACAACAAGAAAATGCTGGGATGAGATATTTGTGGATGGCATCAGATCTTTGGTGTGAGGAGCTAGGTAACTCCAAACCTGTCTGGAAAGATCTTGTCTATGCCAGAAGTGAGAATTCCAGCCCTGAGGTTGAGACACTACACTAGGATGTGGTCTCCAGGTGCTAAACAAACTATCTAAGAGTTATGGGCCATCATTTTTTTAACACCTGAACAGAAGTTACAAATTCCCTTAATGTGTGCAAAGCACTAAGACATTCCTGAGACATTGTGTAGCTCAGAATGTCTCAGCTTAATGTGTCTGGGTCTGAAATATTTTAGTCAAAGCTTGCTTTCTCTAAAGCCTCACAGAACAAGACTGATTTACAAGACCTGCCCCTCCACTACTCTTCTTGATGATGGACTAGCACCTGCTGGGGTGATCATCACAAAGGAGGCGGCCTGCAAGGCTGCAGCTGGATCAAGATAAAACACTGTCTTGAGTTTAGTTCTCCTCTTGGAAAAGCTTCTCTGTAACGCACCAGAGTGCCCAGCACAAACACAGACTCGTATGTCCCTGGCACTGCCCGGCAGGGCTGGCTAACCCCTGTTTCCTCCAGGGCAGGTGGAGTTCTCAGTGAGCACTGAGGCCCTGCAGAACAAGCAGCCCTGTGGGAGCACCATCGTGGAGACTCCTGAGAAAGGGAGGAAGGACACGGTCATCAGACAGCTGCTGGTGGAGGTATGTGGGCTGCTGAGTTTGGTGTCATAGAAAAGTAGTAATAATTTCATGCTCCACTGCAGCAGTTGCTGTATGAGAGGGGCTTTCTGTTTTAGGCATGATAGCAGCAATAACGGCTTGTGTGACTCTTGCTCTGCACACTTTTATAAAAGAAGCATTGATAAATCTCACAAAGGCCAATAGAGCCCATAAATCCTAATGTTGCCATCTCATACTAAAAGCAGGGTATTACATTACATAGTGGGACAGAAATAATAAGGAGGGCAATAATGACAGATTTGTCCCAAACACATCATCTGGGAGATAAATGAGAGCTGCTTGGTTTTACCTGTAATAAATCACAGGGGTAGGTTGTAAATGGAAGACTTGCCAGAAACATTATACATCTCCTCCAGCACATGGCCAGTACTCTGGAATATGGAACAATCACCACAATCTACTAATATTTCCAAACAAAACTACCATCATTGTTCTGAATTTTTTATTACACTCTTAAGAATCTTCAAGCAGTATGAACTAACTTTTTCTTTTTTCATTCTTTTGTACTTTTTTCCTTAATCAGTGTTTTGCAATGATAAAACCACAGTTTTTCCCATGATAAATAGCCAGTCATAAAATTAATCCACAGTATGAGACTCCCTGTGACATTAATAGCAAACCAAGAGTACCAGCTCACAGTTTAGCAAAATCTATATAATACAACATGCCATAACATTGTCAATCCTTTGCATGACAGGAAGGAATAATCATATTTAGTTAAATTAAGTCAGCAGTAATATAGTAATTTATAACATTGCAACTTCTACTTACATTGCAGACATTCCAATTTTCAGTAAGGCACAGCTAGGATTCGTGTAATACATAACTTCATAATATGTTTTGCTAACCTGAATGTAATGATGGAACAATCCTATCTTCCTGGCTTTTATTTATTTGTTTATTCCCTTATTTACAAATGAATTTGAATGTATAGTGCATTTCATGTATCATGGCTTCAATAATGTTATCATTTCAGGAAAACTTCCTAATTTCATATATGCCCTCAGGAAAAAGAGTGTTTATTTTGTTCTTTCAACTGTACCGTTCTGGTGTCCTCAACATAAAAAGGACATGGAACTGTTGGAATATGTCCAGAGGAGTCCAAGAGGATGATCTGGCCTCTAATGTAAGACTGGAGCACCTCCTGTATGAAGATAGGCTGAGAAAGTTGGGGATGTTCAGCCTGGAGAAGAGAAGGCTGCGTGGAGACCTCATAGCAGCCTTCCAGTATCTGAAGGGGGCCTATAGGGATGTTGGAGAGGGACTCTTCGTTAGGGACTGTAGTGATAGGACAAGGGGGAACGGGTTAAAACTTAAACAGGGGAAGTTCAGGTTAGATATAAAGAAGTTCTTTCCTGTTAGGGTGGTGAGGCACTGGAATGGGTTGCCCAGGGATGTTGTGAATGCTCCATCCCTGGCAGTGTTGGACAGATCCTTGGGTGACATGATTTAGGGCGAGGTGTCCCTGCCCATGGCGGGGGGGGGTGGAACTAGATGATTTTAAGGTCCTTTCCAACCCTAACTATTCTATGATTCTATGGTACTGGAAGATACGAACTGTACAGTCTTTTCTCCCAGATGTCGTGGGAGTGAAAGTAACTGACTGAGCATTAAAATGACTTCTCTCAGGGTGTCTGAGAGATTACTGGTTTTATCCTGCTATTGTACTGAGGTAATTAATCTACAGCAAGCCTTGACTGGATAGAATGGGAGATTAGCATCCAAGGCTGAACAATTAATTAGCAGGAGTGGATACAGTGTAACTTGCTTGGAGTTGCATTGTCCCAGACACATGGATGACAACATCCCCTGCAGCAAGCAGTGCATCCAAGGGAGAGAGAAGGGAGTGTGCCAGAACCCATGGGGTGTCCTCTTGTCCCTTGGGAAATCAAGCCTTGCTGAGAGCTAGTTGAGAAACAGGATGTTTTCTCACCCAGGAATTTCTCAGCTGGAAAGGAAAATCTTTCAAATAGTTACAGTTTGTATGTTTTAATCTCCTGTTGAAATGTTCAAAATCAAACAAAACAATGGATTTCTCAGTTACATTTCAGGATGACATGCTGAAACACATAAAAAGATGCCTTTTTGAACTAAAACATTTAGCTCTGTCATGGTTTCTCCTAAAAGCTTTCCTTTTTATTTTTATTTTTGGTTTTGCCCTACTCTTTTGATCTAGAAAGGATCTTTTTAATCCTTTCTCTGTCACTACATTGTATTTTCACTGTGTGAGAAAGTGAAGGTAATAATACATCGTTTACATGCTGGAAAAAGAATTCAGCTAGCAAAAGTTGGGAATTTTTTGAAACAATAGGGACTTTCCTACCTGGAGTAAAAAAAAAAAAACAACACAACAACGATGTGGGGATCCAACTGAAATAAACTCTGGCAAAATATGTTTTCTGGTAAATATTTGACTCCTGAGGTTAATGCAGAAAGTTTTCAACCAGCTCAACAGAAAATGGGTTCTCTTTCCCAACTTCAAAAATTAGCCTAGAAGTTTTTGAAGCAGAAGGATACAATCACTAGTTGACTGTGGCATATATTCAAATTCTGGGTGTTGTAACGTGTCACTTGTGAGTGCTCTAGTTGGTATCTGTCAAAGCTCTTGCGTACATATCCTGCTGGTGTCCCAGGCACTCAGCTGTCATTGCAGTGTGAAGCATTCTTCTAGACTGGGCCAGGGTGGGTAGTACCTTGGAAGACCACCCTGTGGCTCTGTTAGCACCGTCAGTACTGGCATGTTGCATGCTATCTGCATCATATCCTGTGAAATCACAGGGCCTCTCCCAGTAGTAAGAAAGGAAATAACATGTATTAAATTTCATGCTTGTAATTAGCCAATATGTTATAGTCTTCAATTATCCTCAGTTTAGCATATTGAGGAAAAAAACTTCAAGCCATTTGCAAAGACTTTTTGGTATAATGAATTATTACCACAGAAGAATTTATAACATTTTCATTTTCTTAGAGTCCCTTTTAGGTTGTTCGTTGTTGTTGTTGTTTCACATATTTTGGTTTTTTTTCTTACCTTTTTCCCCAAGCCGGAAGGGACTGAGGTGGAAACTACCTACAACTTTGTGCTGTGTGCCTCTGGTAAGAGCCTTTTGTTTTCTAAGACTTTCTTTGTGAAGATAGAGACCAAAGATGGAGGGAGATGACAAGGTTTTTGAATCCTCCACTCTGAGAAGAAAGGTGTAGGGACCTGATAAAATTGAATAAACTAGATGTATGTCCAACTGGTAGTGAAAATAATTCTTCCTATAGCAGAAGAGCTGAGTCTGTAACAGTCCCTGCAATTACAGAGGCAAAAGCATATCTCAGGAACTGAGGCTGGTCAGGTCCCTAAAAGGAGAGAATATCTGCGACTGAATAGGGTTATTGCAGTAAGCCAGGCCTCCCAGCCAAAGCAGAAAAGGCCAGAAAAACAGCCTAGAAAGGGTATTTGTCAATCAAGGCCTGGCGACAGTGCCATGTAGAAGCCCATGACTGTCTGTGTGTAAGGGTGTTGCAGGCCCAACACAAAATTTGCAGGGTGGGAAGCTTTCACAACAAAATTACAGATAAAGGGATTCGTTGAAGGCAGGAAACCCCTGTGCAGGGACGGTGTCTCACCCTCTTAGCTGCTACTCAGACATGCAAATACACCTGTAGTTTTAACCAGACTGATCTGTTCTTTTACAGCAGAAAAGTTGATGTCAGAGCCAGTCTCCCTGGTTCTCCCTGAGACTGTGGTGGATGGCTCAGCCAGAGCGTATTTCTTAGTATTAGGTAAGCAAAGCATTTTCAGGATGTCACATGCTGTTTTGAAACACTGCTATGTTTCTTCAGGCTTTGCTCAGCCCACTGGCAGGCCCTGAACTGTGCTGATTTACACTGGAAATGGTCCCATTCCCCAGGTGACATCATGGGCACTGCCATGCAGAACCTGCACCAGCTCCTCCAGATGCCATTCGGCTGTGGGGAGCAGAACATGGTCCTGTTTGCACCCAACATCTACGTCCTGGACTATCTGAACAAGACAGGGCAGCTGAGTGAGGAGGTCAAATCCAAGGCTATTGGATACTTAGTAAGCGGTGAGCTTTTGCTTGTCTGTTCATTCCTTCCCTTGGAGACTGGATAAAGATACTAATGGCCGCTAGCATGTGTGATCTTGGGGAGGCTGTCCTTGTGTGTTCTCTGGAAGGAAACATGGTACAGTGGTCGGTCAGCTGCATATAATTCAGTATCTATAAGAGAGAATCCTGTGCTCAGGTGGAGGTGCAGGGTGAGAGCAGAGAGCATCCAAACAGGAACATAGAAGATGTCCAGTACTGACAACAACTCAGCAGTTGTTGTCATTGTTGCGGTTTAAAACCAGTCAGGCAGCTCGTTCACTCACTCCCCCCCTTCTTTCCCTCCCCTACTCCCGGAGGGATGGAGAGGAGAATCAAAAAGAATGCAACTCCCCCGCGTTGAGATAAGAACAGTTTAGTAACTAAGGTATAACACAAATCACTACTGCTACCACCAATAATAATAATGATAAAGGAAATAACAAAGGAACAGAATACAACACCTCAGCACCAGCCGACTGATAACTCGCCCCACCAGCCCAACCAAGCACCGGCCGATACCTAGTATAACCCCACAGTGAACCAGCCCTTCTGGGTAACTCTCAGTTACATCCCGGGCATGGCATGCTGTGGTATGGAATATTTCTTTGGCTAGCTCGGGTCAGGTGTCCTGTCTCTCCTTCCTCCTGGCTTCCCCTCTTCCCTGGCAGAGCATGAGGCTCAGAAAGTCCTTGGCCAGACCAAACATTTGATCAGTAACTAAAAACATTGGTGCTATCAGCACCGTTCTCAGGCCGAAAGTCAAAAACACAGTGCTGCACCAGCTACCAAGAAGGAGAAAAAAATGACTGCTACTGCTGAACCCAGGTCAGTCTTAAGAAAAGGGTTGTATAAAATACATAAATCAGTCTGTAACCATTCATCGTGGTGGCTGCTTATGCAGATCTTGGACTACATAATCATACATAAATCTTAGGATTAAGACTTAAAAAGTGTCACTTGCCTTTGACTAGGCCAGAAATTTGACACACTAGCTGGGACATGTTGGCAAACGTAATACCAGTACATATGGACACAGTGGGTGTCTGCTGACTAACAAGGGACCAGTTTTACTCAGTTATGTCACAGAAAAATTGCACTTCCTCTAATGAAAATGGTCCTGTTTTCTGCATCTCTATCCTGTGTGGGGCTCACCTTTTTTCAGTTCTGCCCTGGAAACCTTTTTCCGGTTTCTCTAAAGTCTGGGATACATTTATCTCTCCTCACCAAGTCTAGGCAGAGAGCAGCAATGACCTCAGATACCCAGTTCCCAGGTGTTTTAGGGAAGAGGATGGAAGTAGTCAGAGCTGTGTGTTTGCCTGAACTTCCATGATAACACTGAGCAGCGTACCTCATGCTTGTGCCATTAGAAGAAGGATACTGTGTCCTATGTCTTCTACATTTCCTTTGCATGGCTCCCTGAAAAGTACTCTGGCAATTAAAATGTTCTTCCACTCTTTTCAGGGTATCAGAGGCAACTGAAGTATAAACACTGGGATGGTTCTTATAGCACCTTTGGGCCCCGTTATGGGCAAGTGGGGAATACCTGGTAAGAATTCAGTACCACTGGCTTTTCATTTCTGCTTTTCATGCCCTCCTTTTCCTAAGTATTCTCTTGTGTCTGATCATTGTGGAGGTTGAAATGGAAGTGGAGATGAAATTACAATCATGACAACGTAGGATAATCATGTAGGATAATGGAGGAGGGAAGGATGCTAAGGGAGAGGCCTTTCAGGTTTTCAGTGCTGCACTGATAGCTACTTACTCCCCAACACCTTTCTTCAGCTCAAGTGAGGATGACCTGAAGGATGCCCTAACTAGTTCTTGTTAGCAGAAGATGCTGATGAATCTCCAGAGTGCCACTGGCCACCTCACTGCAGCCCTCAGGGCTATGAATGACAGGCTCCAGCTAGCACTGGTCCCTGTCTTGCTGATTCTCTAAGCTTGCTCTCCATTTCCAGTCAGCCCACTGTGATCAAGTCCTGTAGCCTTTACTCCATTCCTCCAGAACAGTGATTCCCACATGGGCCCTATGACCTCTGATGGATATAGGGCTTGCTCAGGATGTTTCAGTTCCCTGTATCACTTTCAGGCTCACAGCCTTTGTCCTCAAGTCCTTTGCCCAGGCCCGACCTCATATCTTCATAGATGAGAAGCACATCCAGGATGCTTTGGTCTGGCTCAGTCAAAAGCAGAAGGAGAACGGCTGTTTCCGCAGTTCTGGCACACTCCTGAACAATGCTATGAAGGTAACACGTCTGCTTGGTTGGCTCCACATGGGCTTTGTCAGGCTAGAACTTGATCATAAGTCACTCTGGGACCAACAGAGCTATTTCAGCAATTGGGGGTTGGGAGGAGGGGGCGTTATGTATGTGAGCTATCACAGAAGTAGAAAGAAGCCAACAGCATCTTCTGAAGGACTTATCATGAGAAGGAAGCTAGGAAGGATTTGTCACTGCAGGATGTACCACAGGGAAAAGGCAGTGGAGCTGTGTGGGATCAACATCTGCTTTTCTGTTTCCCTGGGATCAACATGTACTTTTGTGATTCCTTGCAGGGTGGAGTGAATGATGAGGTCACGCTGACAGCCTACATCACTATTGCACTGCTGGAGATTCCTCTGCCTGTAACTGTATGTGTCTGCACCCCAACCTCAGCCACAGATGGTACAAACCTGCCCTACTAGTGCCCCCACCCACAGATTATTAGGTCCCTTTACCTTTGAAAGAAGAAATCCCATGTGAATATTCTTTCCGTTCAAGTCTAGACTGGAATAACACTTTTCCTCCATTTTCCTCCCCTGCCCAATCCTGCCTCCCATATACATAATTCACTTAACATTTTTCTGAGTTCTTTTGTGGAGAACCATGTTTTTGCTCCTTTAAAATAATACAGCTTGGATTAGCAGAGTTAAATAATATTTGAATCTCTGAAATCAGCCAAGTAGGTTTTCTCCATGCACAAAAATTTCCTTGTGTTTCTTGGAATAGTACATTTCTGTTGAACCACTTGCATGGGCCAGTTATGTTGATGCCACAGCACAAGTCTGTAAAAAAAGAAGGTGGAACACTCAGGGATTAATTCTCGTTTTCTCTGCCCCTTCTCTATTATTTTATGGGAAATCCCCATCCTTAATGTTTGGGGAATAAGGTACACCTACAGCAAATAAAGTATACTTATAGGGAATAGTAGCTCATCTGTGAAAATCCTGAGGCTTACTTAAAAACAACGTGGGTTTGATCATTCTGATCCCTGAGTTTGTGATCCCCTTGGTGTGAGACAAGGCTGTGGCACAGCTAAAACCAGGGTGTGAATTGCAGGAGAGGGACAGCTGAACCATGATGGCTGCTGGGCTGCTGTGATCCCTCCGCTCCATATGTAGTAGGAGCTATTTTGTATTGAATGTTGTTTCATATATAGTAAGAATTAGCAGAAGGAATTCTTTTGTCAGCAGGGTGACATGAATGACATTAACTTCACCAAAAAAGTATTCTTTCTTTTGTATGTGTTGTGTTTAGAAGGCAAGTTTTCAGGCAGAACTGCAATGGATAACAAGGATGTTTTTCATCTCCCTGCCTGAGCCTAAAAGTACCACTGAATGTGAAGGGGTTTGCCAGAATCTGATTGCAATATGGGCGCATTTCAAGTTAAGCTGCATGAACTCCTGAGGGTAGCACAGCCTCTAGGTATTTAATGCTACTGACAAGCATACAGATTATTTCTGTAAGTAAAATAAGCCATATTAGACCCCTCATCAAAAATTAGTACTGTCCTGAGCATGTGTATCCACTGCCATGTCCTGTCATTAGACTGAAATCCTCCCCAGCACTTGCCTTACAAACACTAGTAAGCATAGGACAACTTAGGTGAGGCACAGACCCAACCAATTTTGCTTTTATTCTTTGCTTTCTCAAAAGCAGCTGAATTGCTTCTCCAGAAGTTACCACAAAAGATTTCACCTTTCTGTAGTCACTTTGTGAAGGCAAAGTAGAAAGCCACTGAAAAATGAGTATTTTCTGTCTAAACCATTGATTAAGCTGTAAATGTGCTGTCAGGCTTCAGATCATGGCATGCTCCCCCTGCAGTGTTATTGCTTCAATTTTATAGCAGTTTTGCCATCACAAAAGAGGAATAGTCATGTAACTTGCTGAAAGGTCATGGGGTCACGGTGTCTGTTACTTAACACTGTGTAAAGTACACAACTTTGCTATAGCAATTGTCCTCTTAAACCATACTTGAGCTGCTGGCTTCAGAAAGACACGTATTGTTGATGTTTACAAGTCAAAAAACATTCCAGAGAATAGAAAAAGATGTATTATTTCTTGTGCAGAGAAAGAATTTACCTCCAAACTAGAAGCTATGGTTCCAGCTAAATTATTTCTTTCAGAAGGACATGGAAAGGGGTAACTAAGCAATAAAAAGGACAGAACAGAGGGTGAAAGCACAGAACAGCCTCAGGGTGATAGCTAGAGGAGGAAAACAAGTACCCAGTATATCTACAGAAGTATATCAGAGAACTCCCCTTGCCCTGAGACACAGTCAGGTCAGTAATTCTTCTCAAGGCAGAAAGATTAAGAGCCCCGCTTCACAGCCTTTAAAAACAAGCTGGGGAAAAAACATTACAACAAGATATATTAAAGAATAGCAGATAACAGCTGCCCATTTGTTCCAGTGGGTATTGGACCGGAAGGGGAAGGGATACACAGTAGTACAATCTTTGTCAGCAGGAGAGTGAGGATGTCAAGGGTCCATAGATACCATCTGATTCCTATTGATCTAAGCTGGATCTCAGCGTGACCTCTGGCTACTCCAGCTCAGTCTCTCTGTCCTCCCAGCACTCTGTGGTACGTAATGCCCTGTTCTGCCTGGAAATGGCAGCAGGTGAGAAAGAAAACCATGTGTACACCAAGGCACTGATGGCATACGCCTTCGCCCTCGCAGGGAAGGAGGAAAAGAGGAAGGCATTGCTCGCCTCACTTGAAAGGGAAGCTGTGAAAAAGGGTGAGTACTTCCAGGTGGGAAATCTCTTTCACTGGCATTACATCATCCCTTGAAGTGTCTGCAAGTGTCTGTCAAGACCTGTTCACATTCCTTGTGTTGTTCTGCATCAGAGAGCTTGTAACTGCCAAATCCTGGCTTCTCCACTTCAAAAAGGGAAGGAGTGTCATCATTCTTAGGTCCCTGGTTCCTCCAGGTGCCCAAGTGTGTGTGAACTTGGAGGCTAGGACAAACAGGTACCCGGCCTGGGGACTGAGCCTCAGCAGTCTCAGCCTAGTTGCAGCAAGCGAGGAGCTGTCTCACCCTCCCCACTTTATCCTATGTGACAGATGCATCCTGAAGGCTCTGTCCTCCCAGCTGGACTGAGAGCAGATCAAGAACTCCCTTGCAGTAACTACTGCTAATTGCTTGTTGTCTTACCTCCATGCTCCCTGCCTCCTGTGAAGATGGGTCCGTTCACTGGCAGCGGCCTGGGAAAGAGCCAGAGGTTGCTCTCCCATACTATCGCCCCCGGGCTCCCTCTGCTGAAGTGGAGATGACGTCCTACGTGCTCCTTGCTCACCTCACCACGCAGCCGGCACCTTCCCAGGAGGAGCTGGCATTCGCAGCTCTCATTGCAAAGTGGATCAGCGCTCAGCAGAACCCCAATGGGGGCTTCTCCTCCACCCAGGTGAGCTGCTTCCTCCCTGCCACCTCACACCTCAGTGTCAGAAGGTGGGAAGTGTCAGAGGCTCAGGTGGGAGAACACTAGCCTTTGCCAGGGCAGGCAGCAGTCGTAGCCCTGCAGTATCTCCCTGCATATCTGTCATGGTTGCCAATTTGCCAGGAGGCTAAGAAGCGTGTAATGCCTCTGGGAATGACTGATGCCTTGATTAATGACCTGGTTTTCTTGACACGTTGGGGCAGAAAGTTAGGGACATAAGGGATATGTGTCTGTCCAATTGGAGAGGGCTCCCACTGCAATAGGTATGTGCATATGAAGTTGCTGCTTCACCCTGTGGCGAGTGAGTGAAGGCTCTGCAGAGCTCTACGCCAGGTTGCTCAGGCAATACACAGCTGCTGTGCAGAGGGCAAAGGAAGAGAACAGAAACGTGTGAAAGCTGCTCTTTTCCTCTGTGTTTTCTGCTGAAGAGTGGAGGAAGTGAAGAATGGGGGGGAGGGTGCCCCCCAGCAGCACAGGGCAGGCTGTGGGAGGACGGGCTGTGGATAGGCCAACGGCATCTGCCTGGGTGCTGGGACCCATCTCTCTCAGGACACGGTGGTGGCTCTCCAAGCCTTGTCCCTGTACGGAGCTGTCACCTATGCCAAGAGCGGAGCGGCTTCCAAAGTGACCCTGCGATCTGGAGGGGACTTCCAGCAAGATTTCCAAGTGGATCCCAGCAACCGGCTGCTGCTGCAGCGCGTGCCTCTGCCCCGGGTGCCTGGGGAGTACAGCACAGAGGTGTCTGGTGAAGGATGCGTCTACGTGCAGGTGAGGGTGATGGGGGCCTGTGGCACCCTGGGAGGGCAGCCCTGGCCAGGAAGGAGCCAGGCGGAGAGCAAAAGGGACCGGAGGAGAGGAGAAATGGGAGGGAAGGCTCTGGGAGAGGCAAGAGGAGAAGAGCAGAGGTATAGAGAGGAGAAAGAGTAGGAGGGCAGGATCCTCAGTGTGGAGGAGCTGTGAGAAGGGCAGAAGTGAGGAGGCTGCATGGGGAGGGGATGGTCTCTGTCATGTGTTGAGCATGCACACAGGCTCACACAGAGCCGTTGGCTCTGCCCTAGACAAGCCTGAAGTACAACGTGCAGCCCTCGCAGGAGGATGCACCCTTCATGCTTCATGTGTACACATTCCCGGAGACATGCGCAGACTCCAAGGCTCACAAGGTCTTTGACATCGGCATAAATGTCAGGTGAGTCTGCGTTTCGGTCTGAGCCTTCCTGAGCAGCCATGGGAGCTGGAGGTCTGCTGGGCTCGTCTGGGAGCCCTGGAGGAGCAAGGCACTTTGGGGAAGCAGGGTGGGAAGCAGCTGGGCTGGGATGAGAGGCTGCAGAGGAAGGACATGTCCTGCAGTGGTGGTACTATGTGGGCAGCCCAGGGCTGGGCTACTGAGAGCACGTGTAGATGGCTGGGAGAGCCTGGCACAGCTGGAGAAGTAGGGGCTGGATTGGCAGGACATGGTGGGGTGCCAAGTGCAATGGAAAAGGTGGAAATGCCTCCAGCTTTGACCTGAGGTGCACTCTGCCTTTGTTGCTTGCTTCCTCAGTTACACTGGGGAGCGCAATGGCTCCAACATGGTGATTGTGGATGTGAAGATGCTGTCGGGATTCATCCCTGTGAAGTCCTCTGTGAGGAAGGTAGGAGCCTGCTTGTCAAAGAAACAACATTCAGCTTATCTTCAGGACACCTTGCAAGTGTCTATAGCAATCTAGAGGGCTTCAGGGTTTGAATCAGCTTGATCTCAGCGTTGACATCTGCACACTTGCTTTGTACCTCTGAGGAATGTAGAATGCACATGATACCTTTCTTCACACATATGTGTGAGGCATCTATTTCCATGTTTGAAGGAGCATCTAATTCTTCTGGTGTTTTCTCCCCTGTTAGAGAACACTCTGATCCTTCCAGCTTTCTGCTGTGGAAGAGGAGTGGTTGAGGGATGCCAGCAGTAGCACTTCCTTCCCACCCCTAGAGTATTTTCAGTAGTAGCTTATAGTAGCTCAAAATATATGCCCAGTTTGGACCTGAGACCAAGAGGTGGAAGATCATCAGGTCTGATTTCAGGGACTCAGGAGCCTTAGATATGTGCAACAACTGTGACAGTGCTGCCTCATTCCAGTTTTGTCTTGAGGAGGTGCAAGAGCATGAGATAGTGGAAACTGTGAGAAGACTTACTATACAGGGCTTCACACAAGAGTGCTTGCTGAGTTCTTTGGGAAGTACCATCTCTGAGCTTCACTTCTCATCATCCACCTGCTGAGTTTCCAGTGGTGAGGGGAAGCTTATGTGAGTTGAAGGGTTGACTAACTTCCCTTCAGATCAGCAACCACTTCTGTATCTCCTCTTTCCAGCTCTCAGACACCTGGTTTCACCAGATACAACGGACAGAAGTCAGCACAAACCATGTTCTCCTGTACATAGAGCAGGTGAGTACTGACCGTGGGCTGCATGGGGCACACACAGTGAACTCACCAGCACACTGGGAGCAGCGTGCACAGTGACGGAGAATGTGCTAGACATGGCTGGGCTTGTAAACATGAAACATAAACCTGTCTGCCACTGACCTTGCCACTCTCTCACAAGAGACACGTCTGTCCCTGCCCTCCACCCACACACAGCCTGGTCCCTGAACTCCCCACCAGCCAGAGCCTCCCTCAGCCCACAGCCCCCACACCCGCAGGGCCCAGGGGACAGTGAGGGAGCCTGCAGGCAGTGCGCAGGGATCGGGGAGCCCAGGTGAGAGACACCCTGAGCCTCCACCACTTCCTTCCCTTCCCTTCCCCAGCTGAGCAGCGAGACCCTCAGCTTCTCCTTCACGGTGGAGCGGGACATCCCTGTGCAGGGCCTGAAGCCGGCTCAGGTGAAGGTCTATGACTACTACGAGACAGGTGAGTGCGGGGCCGGGGTACCCGTGGGAGTGAGGACGGGCAGTGGGATGCACGGAGGGGCACAGGGGCTGTGGGGACCCACAGGGGCCCCTGGCCTGGGCTGTTTCCCTCCCCTGCACTGCCTGAGCTCTCGGAGCACAGAGGGGCCCCGAGGGCTGGAGGCCACAACCCTGCCCTCCTCCCTCTTCTTCTCTCCTCGTGCCCGGGCAGGCCCCAGAGAACGCTGTGGGGGTCAGGTGTGCTGTGCAGCCGTCCTGCCCCGAGGGACAGGGCAGAGGAAGCATCCCCCCAGCCCTCCCAGGCGGTGGCAGCAGCCTGCTGTGTGGCCTGCGACAAAGGTCTCTCTGGTACCCATCCCTCTGACAGCCCGCTCTCGCCCTTCCCTTCTCTTTTCCAGATGAGTTTGCCACACAGGAGTACAGCGCTCCCTGCGCCACAGGTAAGGTAGCGAGAGCCCCGCCTTTTGGAGGTCTACACCTCTTTTGTTTTATCTTTGGTCTTCCAGCCAATACTTTCCTCTTTCTGCTTAAATTTGGATGAGATTGGCCCAACCCACAACCACAGATTTTGCATAGAAGTCTGAGAACACAGGCGGCACAACGCTGTTGTCTCGTTCAAAACATCCCTGCATTCTCAGAGTGATTTCAATAGACAGGTTCTCCTGGCTTGAATGAAGGTTGTGTTCTTACTGTTTTGTTAGTGCCCCTTGGACTTTTCAGGTTTCTCATATCATTCTTGTTGTCTCAGATTTGAGGTATCCTTTGGTCCTTCCTGAAAGCTCCAGCTAGTGCAGCTGTGCAGGGGACTTGGTTCTTTCAAACCACCTGGCACGCTTCTCCCCAAAAGCACTTTGTCTGGAGCAGTAGAGCAAATCAAGACCAAAAGATAACCAAAAAAGCAGCATGTCATGGTCTGACCTATCACTGTTTCATGCCATGCTCCAGAACGTCCTGCCTAAGCCCAGCATACCTTTTCACTGAAGTTGTAAGTTGGTGCTGCTCTCAACCCCTCATTTCCTATTCTACGCCTGAAGCCGTACCTGTAGCAGGGAGTTCTAATTGCAGAGGAATCCCTCCCAGCACTTGTTATTGAAGAGGTATTCAGCTCTTACAGGAACTTGGGCTTGCCTCTCTGGTATGGTGACAAAAAACTGTTCTGGTGGTAAACCTCCACCTGTACACACAGATACATTACTCATCTGTGGATCATAGCTCTCCAATATGGCACACTAGCCTGTTTAGCAACTGTATGTGACAAAGCCCACAGCAGTGCTGGCACATTTGCAGCATGTCTTTAAGCAATGTCATTCCCCTTTGATCCCAAGAGATGGCAAGTTTGCCTTTGGTAGCTACTATCTGCAACTACAGCTACCCTGCTGCCTAAGCAGGAGAGGGTTCCTTTCAGGAGGAAGGTATTCCTCATGACCCTAGGTGGCCAGCCCTCAGTTTTGGTTTGGATTCTGAACTGGCAGGACAGGAAGGCTATGATTTCTTGGGGGGTTCTCTGCAGCACAAGGCTACGTATTTGGCTTAGGAGCACAAGTAGGTGCTTCTGTGGAAGACCCTGACCAAGGATACTTCTCCTGTCTTATATGGAGTCTTCCAATATGCAAACTGACAGGCCTGGTTTCCCATCAGCTTCAGCTGTTTGGAATATGGAGTACTGTGACCCTGGGAAGTGATTTTTCACGTCTTGACTGTGTACCTAGAAGCAGAGAAAACGTTATTTGAATTTGGGGAAGGCAAAAGCTTTGTCTCTTGCTGGTGGTAAATGGTGACATTTATCCCCTTTTGTGTCTTGTTATCTTGGAAAAGAGCCTGAACTCCCAAGCTTTTACTCCATACTGCCTCCTAACCTGGGCTGTGTCTGTAGGTACAGCTGTGTTCTGCTGATTCTTGATCTATAACCTTCCTTCATGGAAAAAAATTGTGCTTAAGTCCTAAGATAGTGGGGAGCATTTAGACTTTTGGCCCCACATCTGTTAAAAGGCAGAAATTTTATCTTCTTGGAAAGGAGGATGGGAAGTTACTACTTACGAGGTTCATCCACTGGTCAAAAGTCCAAAGTTGATCTGTACTGACTAAAAGGCAGATCTCAGTTGCAAAGCTGAAAGTTTCCTTCCCTGCCCTTAATAGTACTGGTGCAGCAGATTTCTTCCACTTTACAGAGAAATAACACTTTAAGAGCATATTTCATCACTGAGTAAACATCCTCCCTGCCTGTTTGCACTGTGCTCCTGTGACCACCCCAGTTGTGACAAGTCCCACTCTGCTTATCTCTCCCAGTGAGTCAGAAAAAGTCTCAGCCTTCTATCAAGCATACATAGTTTTGAAGGTGACATGAGTGTTGAGTGCTATGGATATCCCTCAACCCTGGTCAAACAGCAACTCACTCTCCTGTACTGTGCTTCACAGACAATCAGCCTTCCCAAACCCACATTTTTTTCTGTCTCAGCCTGAGAAAGGGAATTGTCATATCTCTCTCAACTCTTGTAACACTTCCATCTTCTTCCATCCTTGCAGAGGAAGCAGACCAGGGCAATGCATGAAGAATACTCCCAGTTGCTGGAACCTGCCTGCCTCACTACCACCACCAACTATGGAGTGACAGATGAATAGTGCCTGCAAGGAATGGGAAATGAATTTTACAAACACATTAACTGTATTCAGCAATAATTTTTGAACAGTTTATTCCCAATTCTGTTTCTTCCTGCTCAGCCTCCCCTCGCAGCTTTAATCTCCCTAGCCTCTTACTTAAAGAGCATCCCACCCAGCCACAGCTGTGTAAAGGGCAATAAGGCTGACAAATAAGAAAAAGAAAAAGAGGATGGAATTAATTAAGTTGGAATCAGCCTTTCTAATCCATCTCACTGTTATGTACTCTGAACTTGTCACCTGAGATCCTATCTTTTCTTAAGAACAATTCTTCTGGCTTAGAAAGCATAACCTTGATTGAATTGATTGAACTGATCTCTGCGGGTGCCTATCCATGTCTCCTACAAGTAGGCAGCCGACATTGCATGAAATTCAGCCTCTGTGATGCACCCCACAAACACCCCTTCCAGGATTGTTCCTTGTTTGTTGAAGTGGGAGGAGATACACAGTCTGGCCTCTTCTTAGATTAGAGTGTGTGTGAGGCAGCAGGAAGGATGTGTGCATGGGTTGCAACTTTGGCTGCTAACTTATAAAGGCCTGCTTTTCAGCTGAAGCTTGGGCCTTCTTGTGGAAACTTCCATATCTTGGGCCTGCTGCTTCTGGGAGATTCCCAAGGAGAAGCTAATAGCATTTGCCAGTAACCTACCTACCTAAGTTCAAATGCACATTCATTTAAATCATAGAGTTGCTTTGGTGAAACCATCTATAGTCTCTTAGACATCTCCAGGAATGCTTTTCTTGGTTTTGTCCCATTAATTTCTGGTTTTAAGTGGCAGAAAGATCTATGTGACTGTTTATTCTCACAAAACACTTACTGTTAGGTACCATGGCTAATCGTGTATTCAGAGTATGCACAACTAGTTGTTCAATGCCTTTTTTTTTTAGTGTGCCTGTCAAGTGTTATTGAGAATAAATAAAGTTCTTCATCTATTTTGATAGATATTAATGTCACTTTGTCTCCTGTGGTATTTGGTGTTTCCTCACTCAAAACCTTTTTGAAACCTCAACTTCAGAGAAGTCTATGGAATGAACTGGATTCAGTGAAAGCTGAGTAAATTTTCTCATCAAGCATGATTACTAATTGTGTTTTGGTTTTATTTAGAAATAGTAACAATGTAATTTCCTACCATGAAGCAATTATTTTTTCCAAGTTCTCAAAGCCACATAGCTTTTGGTTGCTGAATTAAACTGGTTTGATTTTAGACCATTGTGATTTGCCTTTGAATGTTCCATGGGGATAGGAATTCAATGTTCAGTGTCATTTCCTACATGTTATGCTGTGGAGGACCTGCAAGTTTGTGACTTTGATTTACAGCTTAGTAAAGCAGAGAGATGTTAAACTGCTTTACAGATACAGGCTAGCCAGGGAGCCCCAGATGACAAATGAGGTGGCTGCCCAGGGGTGGCAGTCAGGTGTTGTCTAATTTAAAACCAGGCAGCAGCAAAACATTGTGTTAACTCTTTCCATGGTAGACAGCCATTATTCACATTTTGTGAATGGAACAGACTCCATTGATTTTACAGACTTTTGTATTAAATTATCATGATGGCGATGACTTCATGGAAAACACAAGGGGTTTGGCTCATAAAGGTGGTTCTTGGTTAAAGTTCTGACTATCTTGAATGCCATCATATGGCATGTACAGGACAACCAGGCGATCAGACCTAGTCAGTATGGGTTTATGAAAGGCAGGTCCTGCTTGACCAACCTGACCTCCTTCTGTGACAGGGTGACACACTTAGTAGACAAGGGAAAGGCTGTATATGTTGTCTACTTAGACTTCAGTAAAGCTTTTGACAATGTTTCCCACAGCATTCCCCTGAAGAAACTGGCTGCTTATGGCTTGAATGGGTGTACACTTCACTGAGTAAAAAACTGACTGGATGGTTGAGCCTGAAGAGTTTTGGTGAATGGAGTTAAATACAGTTGGTGGCCAGTCACAAATGGTGTTTGCCAGGGCTCAGTATTTGGGCCACTTCTGTTTAATATCTTTATCCATGAACTGGATGAGGGGATCGAGGGCACCGTCAGGAATTTTGCAGATGACACCAAGTTGGGTGAGAGTGTTGATTTGCTGGAGGGCAGGAAGCTCTGCAGAAGGATCTGGACAGGCTGAATCAGTGGGCTGAGGCCTATTGTATGAGGTTTATCAAGACAAAGTGTCAGGTCCTGCATTTGGGTCACAACAACCCCAAGCACCACCACAGGCTTGGGGAAGAATGGCTGGAAATCTGTTCAGCAGAAAGGGACCAACAGTCACTTGAACCTGAGACAGTGTGTGCCCAGGCAGCCAAGGCAGCCAGTAGCATCCTGGTTTGTATCAGAAATATAAGTAAATGCCAAGTAATTGAGAAGTGACCATCCCCCTGTACTGGGCACTGGTGAGGCCACAGCTTGAATCCTGTGTTCAGTTCTGGGCCCCTCACTACAAGAGAGACATTGAGGTGCTGGAGCAGGTCCAAAGAAGGGCAACAAAGCTGGTGAAGGGCCTGGAGCCCGTATGATTAGGAACATTTAAGGGAACTGGGGTTGTTTAGTCTGGAGAAAAGGAAGCTCAGGAGAGACCTCATTGCTTTCTACAGCTGCTTGAAAAGAGGTTGCAGCAAGGTGGGTCTCCCAAGTAAGAAGTGATAGCACAATGACAAATGACCTCCAGTTGCACCAGGGAAGGTTTAGACTGGATGGTAGGAAGAATTTCTTCACTGAAAGGGTTGTCAAGCATTGGAACAGGCTGCCCAGAAAAGCAGTTGAGTCACCATCCCTGGAGGTATTTAAGAGTCCTGTACATGTTGCATTTAGGGACACGGTTTAGTGGTGGCCTTGGCCGTGCCAGGTTAGCAGTTGGGCTCTATGATCTTAGATGTCTTTTCCAACCTAACCAATTCTGTGATGCTATGAATGACACTGCTAAGTTTCCAGTCCCTCTCTATTTCATTTCAACTGTTCAGAAACAAGCAGACACTGTCTCCACTGGGAAAGCCCACAGATCTTCACTTCTATCTGGCCTGAGATTGAACAGATTCACACTGTCCTTCCACCTCACAGCAGTGATTTCAAAGGGGTCAAAGGTGATAGTGATCAGAGGTTTATGTCCAAGGATTATCTTGCAGAAAATACTGACTTTTAGAGACAGGGAGCCAAACAGGTAGGATCTCCTCTCTTCCTGGAGAACTGGCAAGTATGGATAAAAACCTCCCCACTGCCAAAAGCTATCTGCTTTCTGGCATTCCTCAGGAGTGGCCAAACACCACATTGCCATGGGTGGCTCTGGATTTTTATCTCAGGCCATTACACAGTATGAGCTATGGATAGGACAAGACACAAGTAATAAAAGATAAGGCCAGATGCATCTGATGAGAATCAAGACTTAATTTATTTATAGTGTTACTTTCTTTTTGCGGTTGAAGTGTTCCCCTCAACAAGAAGATCTTCTGGGAGGAGTGATGGGAGCTGATCCAGCAAGACTCGGACAAGATGTGCTTTTCAGGCATTTCCCTGTTCAGTTCCAGCTGGAGGTGGGAAAAAGACAAGAGTGAGGTAAGCATCCTGGTGAAACAGTGTACATCTCTGTGTTCTGGTGGCTGTATGACTTCAAGTCCTGTTAAAATCTGAGAAACTGCTTCATCTAAACTGCCCAGTTGCAGACAAATAACAGAATGGGAATGGCTGGGAACATTCAAGATATCCATGCTACAGCGAGGGGAGGAAGATTTATCCTGAAGGTGTATGAGCTATTCTAGTACACATTCTCTCTCAGCACCTAGATTTCCCAAAGGAAGGCAAAAATAACCCAGGGCAGAGCTTGAAAGATGTTTGAAAGATAATTCCTCAATACCCTTCTATATCTGCTGTGTGGCAAATGTGGCCCTGAAAATGACAGAGACACAAAAGGCAGAGTATGGTGTTCTGCCCCAAGAGAGATTTCAGTCTTGTACAATGTGACACACACACAGAGGAAAAGACAAGTGCCTCTGTGCAAATGAAGGCAGTAACACTGGCATTCCTATTCTCGTGAAACAAGATGAAAGCTGTATCCCACCTCAGATAGGACATCAGGTGGCAGCATTGTTTTTCATGTCTGTACTGAGGCATGCCTGGAGACTGCTGAGAGAATACACAGACTGAGGAAAGATCTGCAAAAACTCTTACTTGAGACAACCTGCAATAGCCCACGCTGGAACATCTCAGTTGTTTGTGTGCACCTTACCTGTGGCGCAGGGAGCGCTGTACTCCTGTGTGGCAAACTCATCTGGAAAAGAGAAGGGAAGGGCGAGAGCGAGCTGTCAGAGGGATGGGTACCAAAGAGACCTTTGTCGCAGGCCACACAGCAGGCTGCTGCCACAGCCTGGGAGGGCTGGGGGGATGCTTCCTCTGCCCTGTCCCTCGGGGCAGGACGGCTGCACAGCACACCTGACCCCCACAGCGTTCTCTGGGGCCTGCCCGGGCACGAGGAGAGAAGAAGAGGGAGGAGGGCAGGGTTGTGGCCTCCAGCCCTCGGGGCCCCTCTGTGCTCCGAGAGCTCAGGCAGTGCAGGGGAGGGAAACAGCCCAGGCCAGGGGCCCCTGTGGGTCCCCACAGCCCCTGTGCCCCTCCGTGCATCCCACTGCCCGTCCTCACTCCCACGGGTACCCCGGCCCCGCACTCACCTGTCTCGTAGTAGTCATAGACCTTCACCTGCGCCGGCTTCAGGCCCTGCACAGGGATGTCCCGCTCCACCGTGAAGGAGAAGCTGAGGGTCTCGCTGCTCAGCTGGGGAAGGGAAGGGAAGGAAGTGGTGGAGGCTCAGGGTGTCTCTCACCTGGGCTCCCCGATCCCTGCGCACTGCCTGCAGGCTCCCTCACTGTCCCCTGGGCCCTGCGGGTGTGGGGGCTGTGGGCTGAGGGGCCAGGGGAAACTCTGGGGGCTTTCCCCACAGTGCGGGAGGCTCTGGCTGGTGGGGAGTTCAGGGACCAGGCTGTGTGCAGGTGGAGGGAGAGCCTGGGGAGGCTGGACAAAAGTACCAGTAAGCCTGAAGGGTCAGCAAAAGTCAATGAGATTCAGTCCTATTGTCAGAGCCACGGTAGTTTTGAGTCCCAGATCTTTTGCCCTGTGTGGCCAAATTTCTCAGTGCCTGCATTTCTTACACATCCTCACCCCAGGCAGATTCTCACCTTTTCCACATACACTAGGACATGGTTGGTACTGATCTCTGTGCGTTCAATAAGGGGGCGGCCTCCCAGCTGAAGAAAGAAGATCAAGATGTTACAGCATTGAAAGTGGTCTCTCTGTGCCCTTTGCCCAGCCCTATGGATCACATGTACTGTGGATGAAATACTGGGGTTATTCAGGGAACTAAGCAGCATGGAACAGCCTCTTTGGTCCCCAGGCCTTCCTTTTGCCAGCCTGGCTGAGCAAGTACGGCTTGGCTTCAGCAGGAACTGAGCATTGGTTCAAGCACAGTGATAGAATGATTCAATACAAATCCATTCCTTCTGCTTGATAGTCCTAGAGGATCTTATGATCACTTTTACTTTCCAGACCATGCACCTGCTCAGCACCTCAGTGACACAAAACCCTAAAAAGCGAAAATGCTAAGAGGTTGTCAGATCAGCAGACGGAAAAAGGAAACAGCACTTCATATGAATGTCGTGTGCACAGACACGAATTTAGGGACACTATGATAACAATCACCAGACAACAAAACAAAACAAAACAAAAGATAAGTCATTAGACTGTTTTCCCTACATTTCTCACTTTGTTTCCCCTTCTGATGACCTTATGCCAGGAAGAAAAAGAGAGTGCTGTTCTCAGCAAGTGTGCAGATGTCAGCGCTGAGATCAAGCTGATTCAAACCCTGAAGCCCTCTAGATTGCTATAGACACTTGCAAGGTGTCCTGAAGATAAGCTGAATGTTGTTTCTTTGACAAGCAGGCTCCTACCTTCCTCACAGAGGACTTCACAGGGATG